ATACATGTGAGCTGACGAGAATACTCCTCTAGATGCCTTTATCCGCGATGAGCTCAGCAAGGGCCGCTACGATCCGGCTATTACCAAGGTTTGCTTTGAGATGCTGCTCGAGCTGTTTGGTCGCACTCTGAAGCTGGATCTGGGCGAGCACGATGGTAAGGAGCAGGTGATTGAGGATGTTTGTTAAGGAAGGGAAGGTGTGCAGGAAACCCAATAATTGGGAAATCAACTGGATCAGCAAAGGGGTATCATTAACAGAACTATTCCGCCAGACGCAAAACATAGCATTTGTATAAGCCGCGATTTGGGGATAGCAGATATCAGTCGCCTGGCCGACCATTCTTCAGCAAGGGTTTTTTAGGAAAGACTTTGTTCTAGACCGAAGTGTAGGGATAGACAGCTACAGCTATAGTATCCACTGTGACGATCAAGTCTGTGCTGTGTTGATACAGTAGTGAAGACATATATACAGTGAGTGTTGAGTAGTGAGTGCAACTGGGATATCTCTCTTCTATTCTTAGCACGAGCAATCCATGGGTATGACCGTTGCCACTCCATGGAACCTCAAGTTTCCCCTTGTCTTAGTATTGAAGATTTTAGCTTAATGTTATGAGCCCTTATTTTCAGTCTTGTTTTCAGACTTCCAAGATTTTTGCTAGAGCAACGCCTAAGCCACACTAGCGCCGGTGCTTCCCCGTTCGAGTAACCCGCTACTTGGGACTCTCATCTCTGTCCCCTCCCACACACGCTCCGACTCTCTCTCAAGCCTCCTGCTACTCTTTGCCCTGAGATCCGTCGCCGAGCGGTTCTGACCAGTCCTCAGCGCGGGTCAGGGGATTCACAAAATCTTGGTCTAGCTTCGACACTCGCTTCGCCAAACACCGTCTTACCTCGCCTTCGCTTGGCGATTCACCATGGGTTCGACTCAATTCGGCAATTTCCACGTGAGTTATAACTGTTGAGTTATGAATGATCGGCCTCGAGACCGCTCCTCCCGTCCAATAGAGACTGACCGCACGCCCATTGGGTATGACAGGACTTCTGTCGCGATTCGACATTACCCGTCTGCAATGTATGAGAACTTCTCCCTTTGTCGCTTGAATGTCAACTGACTGGATTTTTTTTTTACGTATAGCTTTTCACCAATGAGACCGCTGCCGATGCCTTCGGCGCGTGCGATCTGGTCGGCATTCAGCTGAGCGGAGACAGACACCTTCGGAACCTAGGTACGAGCACAGACCGATGGGTAAACAACGGGATTATTGAGGATGGTGGCTGATCTGAGACAGGGTCAATTCTGCTCGCCTTTATCGCAATTGTCTTGACTGTGGGCATGTTATGGAGGTCGGATAAGAAGCACGCCGCTGTCGGGCGCAGGTACGAACTGCTGGGATCTAAGACAAAACAACAACTGACGGATTGGCCTGGACAGGGAAATGCAATTGTTCCTGCTCGGATTTATCATCATTGAGATCTGCGAGATCTTCACTGTGGGCGGTTTCCCGCTGAGCGACGCGGTTCGGAAGGTAGATACATGGGTTTTCATGTCAACACAGGGCTGCGGCTGACGGATATTCAGGGTTTTACTGCGGTGCACATTGCGACGATCACTGCGACATGTTGGGTTCTTCTAATGAACGCGCTAGTCGGCTTCCAGCTTCTTGACGACGGTACACCAGCTTCAATCGGTCTGATTTGCGCATCTGCTGCGGTTCTCTTCATTGGTACTGGCTATATCGCCCTGGACACTGGATTCGACTGGACTGGCCATTTCCAGTCAAGTCATGATGCGCCCAATCGCAATATCGCTCTCTACGTCCTATACCAGCTGTTCCCGCTAGTTTGCCTCGTGTTGTTCTATGTTCTAGAGGCCGTCCTGGTACTTCGGGTTCTGGGCGAGTTCCGACCAATGTGTAAGTGTGCATTATGCCGAGGAAAACGGACTACGTGCTAACAGTGTAACAGTGTATCTTACCGGTGCTGCCTTGCTGTTTGCCATTGGTCAAATCTTCAACTATGTGATCAGTACCCACCTTTGCCAGGCGTCGGATGGCAAGATCAACGGCGCTCTATTCGAGACCCTCTTCACTCTCCTTGCTGTCTCCGGAGTCTGGACCTTCTGGAGCAGTATCACTGAAGACGATTGGCCCCTTCCCGTGGGAGGGGGTGGTTACAACTGATTTGATATTTAGTTCCATGATTCCGGCTGTGTTTGTTCCATTCAATACCTCGACTTCTTGCGTGCAAATTTTTCGTTATCAGTTCTTCTGCCATACATAACATCCTTTTCCGGCAATCATTCAACGTCCCTGCTTTCATGCCTGTGACGAGTCTCAATTTTGAACCTTGGAACAGGGCTATTAATATTGTGATACCACATCCTCGGTCATGTTTCACGATTTACCTGCCATCCCATCCTTATGTGCCTCCACGGTGGTTTTCATGTCTTGCGTTGTGACTTGGTCTAGCCCTTTTATGCTTTTCTTCTATCAAAATACCTGCGGGAGTTTCGATCTGCCTGGTTTTAGACTGGACGGCCCCTTCTCCGTTGGCATTTATGCATGCTTTATTGTTTTTCTATTGTCAGATACCTCTCAGCAATGTACTTAGTTGTAGTAATCTATGTCAAACAACCGACTTTCAGCCTTCCCTCCCGTCCTGTACACCCATAGATCTATGAAATAGCCGGTGACCACGCAGTCCACAGAAAACATTTTCATGTGAGTTTGTTCACAAGCCAATCCTCTTATATCGGCTGTATCTGGGACTAGGTTGGATACTACCTAACTTTACCCCAATTCAAACAACAAGGAAGCACAAATCTCCAAATGTGACCCGGTGTGACATCCTAGCTTGACCTTGCCTCATATATCGATGCGCCAACCCTTCACGAATGTGACATTCGGCCAGACAGGCACGCTTGCCCCGTGTTCTCTGTCCACGTCCTTCTTTCAGTCTACTAAGGATCCCACACACTTCCGATTGTATATAACCTCTCATTCAATCCAGCAATACCGTGAATTAGTCCACCTGTGGCCAAATCTGCAAAGCGAATCAACCTTTGAGAAGCTCCTTTCCATACAAGTTCCTTTACTCAATATGCGTTTCCACATTACTGCCCTTATACTCGCCTCGGGCCTCGCCTCGACTACCGCGAATCATACATCTAATCACCGAAACCAAAGCATACGTATACACTTACTTCTTATGATATCTGGGGACTGCTATATCAAAACTCAAGGCCGGCAAACTAACGGACTGTATACATAGTGCTCCAACAAAATCTAGATGTCGTCCCTATGCTCCCGGAGGCATGTAGTCTCGCGGCTTGTCTTAACCTTACTGCTCAGCTTACTTGTATTGCAAATGCTATTGTTAATGGTGATCCGGCTGCTCTGCAGAAGTGTTTGACGACTTCTATGACACAGGTATATTACATTAGCTCCTAGAAAGTAGGAACGGGAGAAGCTAATAGCTTCGATACTAGATCTGCTCGTGTGCTGCTTGTATCCCGTTGCTAAACAATGTTCTGACGGCCCTTGGCGTTTGTCCAGTGGCAGCTCCAGCTACAGGAGGCGATCAAGACCTTGGTCATGCCGATCATGTTTAGTTTGGGCTCGAGGTCAGACCTGGATATATGTCTCGTTTGCACGAATGCCAAAGCACGCTTTTTATAGGGATTTTCCTCTTAGGCGGTAGATGGTAGCCGTTCACGTGTCAAACAACGCTTTATTTTGTAGCAGTCTAATTAATACCAATGGGGGTATGTACAATCAACAAGTGGTCATTCATGAGCGTTTATTGAGAATATCAAGCCACAATACAAGGAAAGGGAGTATAGTATCGTGTGATTTTGTTGCAGCTTCTTTTCCCAAGGGCCATGCAGGCCTACACAGAAGGCCTGCAAAGAAAAACTAGCCAAGAGAGAAGGCAGGCAGTCCTGCCTGACAAGATTCTCCTCAAAGCCGGACTTTCACATCCACACATGGGAGAGTCCATTCCCGTCTGCCGAGGAGACTGCGCATCCATTCTAGTCCGACTCCAGTCCACTCGTCGGGGCTTGACTCCAATCCATTGGGGGCGAGTCGCTGCTGCACACCCTCCATGGCAGCACCAGCCAGAGCTTTCGCGGTGGAGTTCACAGTATCGAAAACGAATCCTGCCATTCCATCGCTAGGCGCCGCAACTGAAGCGTTGTTGCCCGAAATAGCACTGTAGTCGCTAGTTTCCGAGCTGTACCGCGGGGCAAACCAGTTACTTCGCAGGTCAAATATGCAGCGGTCTGACCAGTGACATGATGATACGAAGAGGATCAGGAGAAGGGCCGAACAATAGACACATGGCCGGTGGATGATGTATGTTAAGGCGACGAATGAGACGATGAAGAGTGGTGATGCGTTGGTCGGGATGAAGAGGAGAGGTAGCCAACTGTAGTACATTTCAGTCATGTCAGCTTGAATCGTCTAGCATGTAGGTTACTCTTAGATTTCACGCACCTTCGTAGGCAGAACATGATGTGAAGGCGATTGCGGGCCGCTTGCCTTCCAACGGAAGGGCGCAGGCAAATCGGCACTGGGGATGATGGTTGTCGTTTGAAGCTCTCGGGCTTGATAGTCGAGTGAGACCAGCCTGGTCACTTAGTAGATTATCAAAACAGACAGAGGGTTGAGAGACGTTGAAGTAAAAGTAGACCTGAATGACGCGAATCGGGCAAGAGATATCAGCCACACGTGCGCCACATTTATCAGCCACAGCCACACCCACGCCCGAACAATATTACCAGTGAACTCTTCTTCCCTTCACCCTTCTTCTACTTCGCCCTACACTCTTCAATTTCATCTCTCTTTGCTCGAACTTTTCTCTGATTCGCTCTTTCATTGCTCATTTTAGCTTGCGAACTTTATTTACCCCCTGCTGCTCTCGAAGCAGAGCTTCTGAGAGCTTTGCAAAGCTTGGATTCATCAAACGGAGGTCGCCTGTAACCAAGGCGTGCGGCAGAAATGTCCACCCCTAACGATCTCCAGGCCCTCTTGGCCAGCATTCGTCCCCGTCCGTCCCCTTCGAACACTCCCGGCCATGATAATCCTCAGGCTCAGCGCCAATCGCACTACCAGCCTGGCATGTTCCCGCCGCATCCTCAACAGCCCTATGACGGTCAGAGCTACCCCCATCCTCAGTCACACGGCTACCATCATCCATCCGTGTCATCGACAATCCAGAGTCCCGCACCCATGAACACTCCACCACGCCAGGGCTCCGACATCATAAGCCCGAACGTGCCAACTCCTCGTGGTGAATGGCCTCATCAGCCGCAGATGCCGAACAACCCTGACCGTGCTGTCGACCTTTTGAGCCTGCTCAGATTCAACCAGGGTGCTGGTGCTACCTCTCAGCCTCAGGCCCCAGCTGCTGTCGCTGAACACCTACGCTCTCCGCCAGTCCACGAACCTTCCTCGTCGCACGGACGAAACATTTCCGCGTCTGATTTGGTTGCTAGTTTGTTCGGTCAGAACACTGGTGCTCCTGCGGCCCCCGCAGCTGCCCCAGCTGCTGTTCCCCCAGGATTTCAATCTGGTCATCCCGAGGGTCCTAATGAGAACACGCAAGACATGTTGCTTCGTCTGCTCAACCGTTCTCAGTCCGGGCCTCCTGTCGACCCGTCCGCCCAGGCTACAGCCCAGGTTTCTGCTGCAGTCAATGAGCCTCAGGTCGAGATGACTAAGAATGTTCTCATGGAAGTTGTGGATGAAAGTCCCCAGGGTCGTGCGCACCCGGAAACGGTCGCATCCCCTACTTCAAAGGATTCTATGTTCACCTATGTGAACCCCTTCGACCAATTGGCCGCTATCTCTCCTCGCAATAAGTCTCCCCAGCCTGCCTCGGGTAACCAGAGCCCGGCTGTGGAAGTTATGCAGAAGCAAAAGATCAACGTTACTGCTAAGCTGGAGCCTTCGCCGGCTCCCAAGCCTGCTTCTCCTCGGGAGAGAAGAGATTCGCCAGTCCTGAACGATGACCAGCGCGAGGCTGTGAATGGTGTCGTCGGCCGTCTCGTAGATGAGATTGGCCGTTCGCTCAGCAGTGGTGAGTCTCAGGCCGCAGCCGAAGCGGAAGCTGCTGTTTCTGTTGTCAAGGATGAATCCTCTGAGTCAGTTCTTGCATCGATTGCCAACAATCTGCGTGAGACTGCTGCCGACGCCAAGGAAGCCGCCACCTCGCTCGACGAAACTGTGACGGAGACCGTGGTGGAAGTTGCTACGGCTCCGGTCCCTCAGAAGGCGAATGAGAACACCGAGGCTTTGGCTGATAGCTGGGAGAGCGCCGAGGACAGTGCTGAAAAGGAAGAAGAACGAGTTGTCTCTGTTCACAACTTCCCTATGAAGCCGTTCATCTCTATTGCTGTCAAGCCCCAGTCTGGAAAGCTCAACACCTTCCGCGATGACGATGTCATGGATATTGCCCGTCTGAAGAAGGAATTCGATCAACTTGACCGTTCGTTGACTGCAGCTACCTCTGAATACATTGTGTACGCGCTCGCCAAGACCGGTGGAATTAGAATCATTCGACAGGATGACGGTAGTGACCGTCAGGTCTTCCGTTCCACCCGTGACCGTGTGTTCAATGTCGCTATTTGCACAGCCGGCGACTCTGAAGTTCAAGCCATCATCGGCATTGGAGTCAGTGGCTCTGTCTATTGGGCTTTGATCTCCCGTTCTGGAAAGGACTTCTTTGATATGGATGCTTTGGAAAGTGAAAGTTTGGTCTTCCCGCCTTTCCCAGCCTCCGACGAGAACACCTCTGGTGGCCAGCTGAAAACGCGGGCTAAGCGGAGCACTCGTCACACCAACCTGTTCGCTATTGGACGGGGCAAGAATATCTACGTTGTTTCTCCCGAGGCGGCGATGAACCCAGCCTATGGCGTTTCCGGCACTCAGCGCACTGTCAACACTGAGAAATTCTTCAAGGAGCGTGCCTTGAAGATCTCTACTGGTAAAGCCGGCAAGGACTTTGCTTTCAGTGACGATGATTCTGTCATTGCCTCTCTGGACAAGACTGGCCGCCTGCGCTTTTGGGATATCAATGATATGCTCGCCGACGCGAGCTTGCTAGAAGGTCCTCCTCCGGCCGAGATCCGGGTCCCCTTGACCACCTTTGTCACTGGTTCCCCGACTGAGAAGTCTTGGCCTACCTCGGTCCTTTTCCTTGACAAGCTTCGTGCTTATTCGCGATCCATGGCGCTGCGCTATGTTCTGGTCGGACTGAAGCAAAACCACACCTTGCAGCTCTGGGATATCGGGCTTGGCAAGGCTGTGCAGGAGCTGAAGTTCCCTCACGAGAATGAGTCTGATGCCATCTGCAGTGTTGCTTATCACCCAGCATCTGGGGTCATTGTTGTAGGACACCCTACGCGCAATTCGATATACTTTGCGCACCTGTCCGCACCGCGATACAACTTGCCTCAGATGTCTCAGGCAGCCTACATCCAAGCCCTCAATGACAAGGACAACGCTCTGCCCAAGCCCGAGTCTACCGCCTGCTTGAGTGGAATCCGGGAGATCTCTCTCGGTTCCAAGGGCCAGCTGAGAAGCTTGGAGCTCCTTCCCATCTCCAAATCTGCCACCGAGAAGCGCGGTACTGAGGAGTCTGCTCTGTTTGAGCTGTACGTCATGCACTCTCGTGGTGTCACCTGCCTGAACATCAAGAAGGAGGACTTGGGCTGGACAGCCGATAACAAGGTCATTCGGCCGGTTGATGCTATGGAGCACGGCTTCATTGAAATCAGCGACCTGGCGACTTTCCCCAGCTTCACCACTGATGATCCCTCCATCAATGGCGACAATGTCTCGGTCCAGTCCCGCGCTGGTACCAAGGAGCCTGCCAAGAAGGCGGATGTCGGAGAGTCGACTTCTGGTGTCGCTCCTTCGCGTAACGCGTCACCCATTAAGTCATCCAAGAAGAAGGCTGTTGATGAGCCCACCGAGGTAGCAGCGACGCCCATCGTGGCTGACAAGTCTGAAAGGAAAAAGAAGAAGAAGGCTGCCGCCGCTGAGGCAAAGACAAAGGACCCTGTCGCTACTGCTGGTGTCGAGCCTCTTCCGGTTCCTCCTGTCGCTAAGGAATACGAGTCTCTTGCCTCGTCCACTGCGGCAATGGGTGCGACCCAGGCTGCCGACCATGCCGTGTCTGCCACCCCTAGCTTGTCTAGATTCAATCTTTCCAGTGAGGCCCTGGGCAGACATATCCAGAACCTGGAGAACACTGTCTCGACCCAGTTCACCAAGACTCTTGGGCTTGAATTCGACAAGTTGAACCGTCTATTTGACGATGAACGCCGCCACTGGGATGCTGCCGGGACTGCCAGGCAGGATCAAGTGTTGCGCTTGGTCTCCGACTCTCTGTCTGACAACGTCGAGAAGAACTTGGCCCGCATTGTCTCAACTAGCATTCAGAGTGATGTGATCCCCACTCTCACTGATGGCACCTCGGCTGCAGTCAGCAAGCAGCTGAACGGCGTCGTCGCCCAGCAGCTCGGAGTCACGTTGAACGAGGAACTGCGACAGGCTCTCCCCAAGGCGGTCATCAATGCTATGCAGCAGCCGTCTGTGATCAAGGGTGTTACCGATTCCCTCGCCCAGAAGCTTTCTCCTCGCATTGAGGCTGAAATGATCCGCGTCATGCAGACCTCGCTTGCCCCCATGCTCGAGAGCCTGGGACGTACCACACAGAAGGTGGAGTCAGACATGGAGCGTCACTTGCAGGCTCAGATTAAGTACTACGAAGCACAGCGCCAGGCTGATAATGCAAAGATCGAGGAAATGTCGAACATACTGCGTGGTTTGTCCCAGACCGTTGCTTCTTTGGCCGCCAACCAGGGCCACCCAAGTCCCAAGCGTGAGGTTCAGCGTGAGGTTCAGCGCGAGGCCCAGAACGTCAACGTCAACAAGCGCGCCTCGGTTGGACGTCCTTCTGGAAACCAGGCTCGCATGCCCCAGCAGCAGCAGCCGGTGCCTCAGCCTGTCCCAATCCCTCAAGCCGCCCCTGCCCCTGCCCCTGCCCCTGTCCAGGTACCTACTCCTCGGACTCCCGAAGAAGCCGAGCTGGCAGATATCGTTCATTGTATCAATGCCGGCCGCTATGAGGAAGGCACTGTCAAGGTCTGTTTCCGTATCATTCACCCATTTGATATTTCTACTGACATCTTTACTCTAGTGGCTCCAATCGGACCAGCAAGCCGACCTCTTTGACAACTTCTTCGTTCGAGTGTCTCCTGCATTCCTGTCTCGACTTCCCGCAATCGTTCTGCTCTCCGTCGCCGTGGCAGTGACTTCTACCTGGCAGACCAACGTCGGTCAACGCCTTCACTGGCTCGACGTGGTTCTCCAAAGTGCAAACCCCGACGTATGTTCTCACATCCATCCTCTTACCTCTTCGCCAAACTAACCATTTACCCTCTAGGACAATGACCTCCGTGAAGTCGCACCCCGCATCCTGGACATTATGAGCCAACGCCTGAACACCCTGTACATGAACATCGTCGAGCGCAACCCGCACGACCCAATCCTGCGCCTCATTGCGCCTCTTGCCCGTCGTACCCGGGAGCTGCATTCCACCATTTGAGTGCCTGCATCTTTGTTTCTTTTTTACTTTGCCTTCTCGCAAGGTCCGAATTCAATATGAGTTCGATGTATTCATGATCATGATCTTGATACCGGTACATTCAATGGAGTTTTCCTTTTTTTTTGGCTTTCTAGTATGACGTGTAATGATATCGAAAGCATGACAAGGAAAATACGAGAGGACGCCAGGATCAATGAAGAATGGAAGTTAATAGGGATGAGTGGGATGGTTGTGGTTTCAGCACCGAGGCAGTTAGATACTTCCTCTGAGGTATGGAGAACTGCAGTGTGGTCATCCATGCCGCCAATGTGATCAGCCATGTGTTAATTATTCCTTATGATAGTCATGGCACGGGCTGCGTTATGTCGGATTTGTCGGTGTAGAGCTTTTGTTTTTTTTTTTTCCGCATCTTCGATGCTGGCCCTGTATCTATCTGTCTTTCTGTGCTTTTTATTATTATGAGATGGCATTATTATGAATCTCGTCATTCGAATCCTTTTGGTTTCTACTCGTATTCAAAGTTGACTGTTTATGTTGCTAGCTCAGGGTTGAGCCAGAGTACTATGGGTGGCTACACAGCACTTTGGACAAAGAATTCCTCGTGAATCATCTGGTATTCCATAGATATGACGTGGTATGTGCAGAAAAGCAAATATCTATGTCCGACGTAGCAATATGTCACGCTAATGCTATCTTCGCTGGGTGACTGTAACAGCCAGAAACATGAAGCAATACTATTCTTCTCCTTCTTCCTTCCTTCTTACCTCTCCCTCCATTAATCGTCTTCCTTTGACCAAGAAGCATATCTTCTCAAGTCATCAACCCCGTATCAGTCCAACACTTTTTTGATACAAACCTACCGGTCAGTCTCTCTAGCGGTCGGTTCCTGGAAGACAAGACGAACAGGTCTCTCGGGTTCATCAGTCTGGCCAGTACCAGGCTGGTTCGACGGTGAACGAGGGCGAATCACCGAGCGATGAATGCCAGAGAATGGCCCGTTGGGCTCTCGTGCACCGCCACGCTTACGGCTTTGATGGCTGTTTATTTCCTCAAGCGGTGTGGCCGTGCTATGGGTGTGTCTGATGTTTGATATTGGCACTGGTGTTGACTCGTCGTTTGTGCTTGTGCTCATTGCAGTGGAAATAGTTCGCGGGAGGTGGTATCCTGCCTTTCCGACTGGGACGGAGAGACCGTGTACAACCTGTAATTGGTTAGCGGTTGATGGAATTAGAATTGTGGGGGATTTCAAAGACTCACGATGCTACAAACGACTAGGAACCAGACAACAACTTGAATGGTCTCGATGACTTGCTGAACATCCTCTGGGATCTCGCCGTTGACTTTGATCTCGCGTAGGAATTCAAGGCTGATGGATAGGTAGAAGATGGCTCCGACGCCAATCGGGCCGAAGAATCCGACGAATAATGCCTGCGAGACTAGCTCGATTTGGTGGATACCTTTGTGCATGGCGAAGACGATGGGGAGTCTTCGAACCAGGAGGATCAGTATTCCCAAGAAGATGAGCCGGTAGATCGGAATCACGCTGTTGTTCAGGAAAGATGACCATGGGCAGACAGCTCCGAACCACATGAATACAGACAAGTTGAGCAGCATATCGATGGTTGGTTGGAGGGAATCATCCATAGTTTCGAGACGGAACCAGTCACTGTTGATCTTAGCTTCTTCCTGATATAGCTTTGGGGAGTTAGACTTACTCTTGCGTAAACACGTTTCCGGCAATGAAACAAGCAAGTAAATCATCGGTTCCAATCAAACCGCATGTTCCCACGATAAACAACTATTATATAGATCAGCAATGAGACTCCCATATTCCGGATATAAACTCACCGCAAGAGCAATGGCAAACACCAAGAAACTCTCCCGATCCACATAGCGCTTCTCTTCGGCCCAATGCAACAATTTCCTCGAGATATAACCAACAACAATCCCATATGCAACACTCAACAGGATTGTATAAGCCCAGGTCTCATAGAACCACAGCGCCATAGCTCTCCCAGCACCGCCACTATAACTCTCCTTTGCCATGCCAGTATATTGCAGGAGATAAATCCCAAAGAAAAGGAAAGGATACCCAAGACCATCATTAGCGCCCGACTCGGCGATGATGATCCTCTGCAGCGGACGGGGCACGTTCTTGTCGGCAAACTTCCCCTTGACAATAGAGTTGGACAGGACAGGGTCTGTCGGGGTTACACAAGCACCGACGATCAACGCATGGAGGAACTTGAAGTTCGGGACCATGGCCCAGATCATCAGGCTGCTGCACATCCACATAGCAGCCATACCCGGGCCGAGCAGCAAGGCCAGGCTCTTCCATTCGACTTGGAGGTAACGTTTGGGGAGCTGCACACCGGCAAGGACCAGCTGTACACCTAGGACGAGGCGGGTGAAGTGCAGCGTGATCGTTTCGAGGTTCTGTTCGTCATGCAAGGCATAGTCTTGAGGTCTTATGAAGTTCGCTGCATGTGGGGAGAATGCGACACCGGCTAGGAGAGAGATCACTATTGGCCGTTAGCAATTGTGTCGGAAAGGTGGTCACCGGAAGCACTGACAAGCCTCGGACAGGTAAAACACGTCCTTGCAAAGATAGGAGACAAGTCCAAATAGGGAGATGAAGCCCCCTAGCGTCGCGCAGACGATGTTGAAGTTGATTAGGGCGAGTGTCGGCATGTTGATTGCATGCACCCCGCCTCGTGGGTTGTGATTTGCGGTCAAGAGCGATTTTGGCCAACTGCGAGTATATCCGAGTCGGTCTTTATAAATCAGATAATATCAGGGAGGCCACTGCTCGCCCTGGAAATTTGTCCGGAGACAGATGGAAATAACAAAGATTCAAGCGAATGTTATTCAATCATAATTTGGATATCCTGTGAGATACGCAACGCGAGCATTTGTGTTTGAAAGACGGCAGGCTTGATCTGGGCAGACATTCATAAACCAGGGTAAACTTGGAGGGAAAACAGGCAATAGTGCAGATGTGCAGACACGCAGAGATGCAGAGGTGCAGAGATGCAGTGGAGAGGTGAAAGTGAAGCGGGAGAGATTCTCTTCAATCCGGGGGTCTTGGCAGCTTCTCCGATCTACATGTCCAAGTTCCCCAGTTCCTGAGATGTTTACACTTGACTGGCAATAGTTTTAGCTGTTGGTTCTCCAGCTTTGATTTTCATTATCCAGATAGCATAACTGCTTAAAAGTCTTCGTCAAAAACCTCGTCAGGCACATCTTGGGCAACCTCAAGCGCCTCTGCCTTGGCAGACACGCCCTGGTGGGCTCCATTGACCGCTAGACGATCAGCCTCTTCATTGCCAGGGTCTTTGTTATGGCCCTTGACCCATTCAAACAAGGTGTTGACCTTGAGCTCATTGCGTTCCTCAATCTTCACAAGAATTGACTCAACCAAATCTTTGTTCTCAACTGGCTTCTTATCACGAGTCATCCAATTATTGCGACGCCAGTTGACAAACCACACCGTTACACAGTCAATCGCATATCGACTATCGGTGAATATAGTTACATCTCGGTGCCGGGGGGCAATATCAATGGCCCGAAGGATGGCTGTCAGTTCGGCGCGTTGATTTGTTTGACGGCTGCCTTTGAGTGGCTCCGAGACATTCCTGCTGGGATAAGTGAAATGAGTTAGAAGTGATCAATAGACCTGACTTGGTGGTGGACGAACCTTTGATCGTCAGGCCCGAAGTATACCCCTACTCCGGCCGATGCTAACGGTGTGCCATTCCTTAATGAACTTCCATCTGTGTATATCCGGAGCATTCCCGGGATTCCTGTGGATTGTGTCTTTGTTGCTGCCTTCTGGGTTGTGGTCTTGTACACCACTTTGCCAGTAGCCGGATCTAGAAGCACATTAGGGTCAAAGCCATCTTCAGCTCCCTGGGGCAATGGGCCATCACCAGGTGCAAACCCGACCCCTTCGGCATCTTTTGGTGCTTCAGTCTCAATTCCGTGAGCGCCAGACGGTACGCCAAATCCGACTGCAGGAACTGGTTTCTGTCCTTCCCGCACAAAGTCCTCTGCCTCCTCACGGGTTGAGAACTTGCGATATCGAGGCCGGGCAAACCCACGAATTTGTTCTTGTGCTTTGGTCCAGTCCGTGTATACGCCTGGGACTCGACCTCGTTGGATCCCGTAGAATCTAGTTTCCGCGCCTGAGGAAGCGCTCGTCGGAAGCTTGACACCGTTCAAAAACGCGTTCGCTGCTTCTTGTGAGGGAAATGATTGGACTAAAGCATTGATATTCTCAGTTACTTGCCAAATTGACGCGCCGGAACGACCACAGCGAAAGGCGCACTCACATATTGCTCCCTTGAACCCCGTTATTTGAGCCAGGCAGTCATTCCACCCATAGTAGATACCCGGTTTATGACCTGCCTTGACGGCGTAGTATTTGGCTGGGGTATTTCTCTTGCGTTTTGTGCCGGCAGTCGGTGAGGGTGAGGGTTTTGAGCCGGGCGAAGCTTTGGGGACCGGTGCGGGACTCGGGGAAGGAGTGGTCTCATTCATGGCGAAGGAGTAGTTGTTGGGTGTCAAATGGGAACTTCCGGTGGGGATAGGACCGAGGGATATGCCTTGGTGGGTTCCAGTGGGTGAGAATTCGTAGTTTTGCGTTCTATGCGTGCCTTGGCGGATAGGAAGAGATCGCGGAATTAATCGCGGGGGGCAGCTGAGGAGGGAACGCCGTCCCAGCTTCAGAGCTGACCAAACACGTCTGGGAATTGTGATTGCTTGAAAGGTGAGAAGTGAGTTATGCAGATATGCAGGAGCTTGCAGAAGAGAAGAGGGAATGAAAGAGGGGGAAGGGGGGGAAGTGAATGCTGTTCTCAGAGTACTTGGCGATCTATTGTATGTCCGTGTTTCAGTTCTCAGTTCATACATTCCGCGTATATTTCATGGCTTTTATATTGCTAACGTTCAATTCACTGATGTTTCATTGATGTGAAGATATTTAATTTTTGAATTCAAAATATATATATCGATTCTCTCAAGCTCTTCCGCAACATACACTTGATCATGTTTGGTATAGAACCTCGAGTAGATCTGTCAAACGAAAGCCAAAACCGAGTGATATTCTCAAACCACAGCTCGCACTCGCTCCAAGATAGCTCGAGTTTCCTGTTGGGTACACTTTATGACATTGTCGACAGATGCCACTGCATTGATACTTCCAATGCTAGCACCTCTTCTCAATATATTAACACAGCTCATCCAGAAAGGATATAGAGGAACTTACGCCCAAACGGTCCTTCTCTGGTCATCACCCGCCTTCCTGGCCTCATCGTACCGTCGAATAATCTCATCGTCACTGACCCCTTCCTCAGATTCCTCATAATTAACTCCAATAACAGCTCTCCCGTCATATTGCTTCGGAAAGACATCAGTTGACTGAAACACATCATGTCGAGTGGATTTAATGGTCGAGACTCCACCATCACTACTAGATACAATAGCCTCTTTCATAGCAGATGGTGCCGGACATTCAAAGGTTGCAACAAACTGGACCTGATCAGTACAACACCATATATACCCAAGTGGATCAAACTTACCCTTGTGCCCATGACGATTCCATCAGCACCTACATATAAAATTATCAGTATAATCCACACACAAGGGTACCAAGAAATAAAAACCCACCGAGACCAAGAGCAGCAACACACCCTCTCCCATCCACAATACCACCAGCAGCAAGAACAGCAATCGACCGATTCTGAGTGTTTAACAACTTATCCCGTACCTCAGGCAAGAGAGATACTAGACTAGCACCCTGGGCCCATTGATGACCCCCCGCATCAGTTCCCTGAACAACCAAAACATCGACACCCTGCTTGATAGCTTCCTCAGCTGCCTTGATAGTCCCCACCTGAACGAATACCTTTGTATCCCAATCAAACTCCTGCTGAGCTTGCCGAATGGCTTGGATCATTAGAAGATGATCAGCATTTGTCTGAGGGAACGATAGCCAGATCGCTGCTACCCGGTGCTTCCGCAGGACGGGAATGGCATTCTCAGTAAACCCGCTTGGTTGGAATGTGATGAAGCCGACACCAAGTGGTAGTGTCTGTGCATCACTCAGATCGAGGATAGTACGGCATTTTGCCAATTGAGTGTCCAAACTTTGGAGCTGCGTGGACTCCGGTTTGAAATCGAAGCCGGCACCAAGGAAGCCTAGGTATGGTTAACTCTGTGCATACAGATATGTAGTGGTTCTTATCCTGAATAAGTTCACAAGCATACCGAATCCGCCGGCCTTTGTCACTGCAGTCACTAGGTTGATATCTGCGAATCCAAACATGGGTGCATTGGCGATGAATGGAGTGGATGTATGGGCGAACCATTGCTTCAGATTTGTAGCCATTATATGATCGAGAGGCCGTATATTTCGCCAGAAATAACTTCGAAGGTCTATAGGTAGAATGACCAGGTTATGGCACAAGTAGACCAAAGGTTTAACTTATACGTTCGTAATCAACGCAGGCCTGGAGCCCCGCGTAATTGATGCATAATCACAATTCTTCCGCGGGGAAGTACTCCAAGCCTTCAATATACTCAATTTACGACTGTTTATCTAATACCCAACATAATGCAAATTAACTGAACTGCAATGAGGTCGCTTTCTACTATGAACTCGGAGCGAACATTCTGTTGCGAATGTATTGGAAAAGGCGGCGTCATCGTACATCAACTGGTTTCCTGGTCTAGCGGTTATGATTTTCCGTTAACAATTGCTTCAAGCAAGTGTTCCGGAAAGGTTCTGGGTTCGATTCCCAGGGAAACCATTTTTTTGTCCTTTAGGCATCCTAGCTAGATGGGGTACAGAGGCAGATTTTTTTTGGTTGTGGTGGGGGTGGGCTCCATTTAGATTGGCGCTACTGTACGTGGACCCGGGAACAATATCAAAGGGAGAGTTGACATGAGATTGCAAGACATAAAAGATTTGGAAAGGAGAGCATAACCTGACTCAATGGGTCATGACATGGACTGATCTACTACAATGAGACTTATCAGGGCTAGCGCAATTGAATCAATTTGCTCAATTTTATTTTATATAACCTTGGAAACACTGGATGATTTGAAGATTAAATTATCTAGGGGAAAGAGAATTTACATTCGGTATATTCGGCTCTGAAATCACTAACACGCTTATAGCTTCGCACGGAATGCCTGTTGTAATTGTTCGAGACCAGCAGGTCCATCGTAGATCTGCTGCTCGGTCATACGGGTGTTGATCTACAAGCAATGTTAGTTGATCCAATAGCTGGCAAAATGACGCGGGTGTGCTTACATGCTGGGGCCCTAATTGATCAACACTCTCCACTCCGAGTAGACGCATGCACGTCTTCATTTCATCGTTCAAGACTATAGAAATTTTTAGCAATATGCCTCCAGTTCGAGTACTCTGTCAACTTACTCTGCAAGGTACGACGGACACCGTCGACACCACCTGCCGCGAGACCCCAGAGAGCCGCACGTCCAAGGCCAACAGCCTTCGCCCCCAAACAGAGAGCCTTTACGGCATCAGTGCCCCGACGGATACCTCCATCCACGTAAACCTCGATCTTGTCAAAGACCTCGGGGCAGTATTTTCGAATCTCCAAAAGAGTGTGCACAGCCGGAGGAGCAGTGTCCATAGCACGGCCTCCGTGGTTAGAAAGGATGATACCCTTCACCTGAGGCGCATGGAGCGAGGCGAGGTATGCATCCTCGTGAGTCTGGAGACCCTTCAGGACAATAGGAAGGTCCGACTGTGTGGCGAGCCAAGCCAGAGTCTCTGTCCATGTCAAAGAAGGGTCTGTGCCTGCGAATAGTTGTTGACCGACACCGCCCGATCCCTCTGTTGGGTTGGGGGTATCGTCCGACGAACGCTCAGCGGCTTTCACGCCACTTGTGACCGCGGCTGTTCTTCCAGTCATACCAGTTCGCTCGTCATCCTCACGTTTTCCGGGAACCGGGGCGTCGAGGGTGAGAACAATGTACTTGATTGCCTTGAGCTTGTTGATGCGTGCAAGCATGGCCTCGCTCTTCTTGCGATCAATCTGGACATAGAGTTGCCAGCCAAAGATCTGGTCTGGTGCTGCATCCTTGACAATCTGCTCGGGGGTCATGGAAGCATTATTGGAGATAACCTGCATAGCTCCAAAGCTACGGCATGCCTCTGCGATGCCGGCTTCACCAGAAGGATGACCGAGGCGCGCCATAGCGGCGGGAGAGACATAGATTGGTGTTTTTAATTTGTGACCCAGTACTGTTGTATCCAATTCGCATTTTGCGCAGTCCACAAACACTCTTGGTCGCAGGAGGATGGACCGGTAGACCTGATTGTTGAAGTGCTTGCTGACTTTGTCGTCGGATGCAGAGTAATAGTACGCCCAAGCCTTCTTGCTCACTTGCTTAGCGGCCACTTCCTCCATCTCATCCAAGTTGAGAAGATTCTCCATAGGAGGCGGGCCCTCAACCTCCCCTTGGGGTTCAGACGGGGCCTCTTCCTTTGGTAATGTGCTGGCATCGACTGTTCCCAAGCATGCCTCGGGCTTGAGTTCCTCTTCTAAGATACCCGGCGGGTGGATAGGATCGTATTCCTCAGTGGCATCTTGACCAGCGAGCTTTAGAATAATTTTCGCACCGCCAGGGTGGCTGCCCAGGAAATCGGTGACCTAGACAAGGAAGAGTCAGACATCTATTGGGAAAACAGGTGTAACGAAGACATGAGCAAAAATCGTACATCGTAGACTTTGCCGTACAAAACCACCCAGCAACTCTCACGAGTGTTGTGCTTTGCGACTATTTTCCTTCAGTTAGTGTCAAGAATTCATCCCGCGTGGGGGGTTCCAGGGACATGTGCGGAGAAAGTACCTTCTGTCGCATCGAATACCTTAGCCATTCTCAAGGTGCACGCGGAAACAGGACACAATCAGAGTATCTACCTGTGGATGGCGACACAGGGATATATAGAGAACAATTGTAAGATGAGGAGACAACGCTGTCCGGAAAAAGGCGACTTCATGGAGAGTGTGGGGAACGGTCGGTCGCCGCTTTTTCCTTGTTGGGCGCCGTTTCGATTGCCGACAGGACAATTGAAAACACCCCCACGTTATTGGTGGGATAAATGTGGATGGAAATGGCCAATGAGTGTCAGAATAATGAATTAAAGAGAGAAGGCATACAGTAGAAGATTGAAGGTTAACGTTATACCGCAAAAGTCACCTGAATAAACACCACGTGATAGCTTGTCATCTCCCCCAATTCCCCGGAATTCAGCTTCCTTCCTCGACCTCAGGTGTGTACTGTGTATACAGTACTCTGTATACCCTCTTCTGACGTTTTGACCAGTGGAGACTGGAGACCATGTTCGAAGTGTGTTTACCTAGAACTCCNCCCCCAAAATTCCCATTTACCTCGATCTTATCTCCCCTCACCGTCCCTGTCCTGCCTTGCCATGTCTGACCATCTCAATATCAGCGTCGTGCCGCGGATCGGTATCGCCTTCGAATGCACCGGGCGCGTTCGGCCGTACTGACATCCGACGAAATTGTGGAAGTGCGCGCGGCTCAGCGGACCTTCGAAGGTGCCTATGTTCGGACTGCCCTTTCTCAGTTCTCGTTCGCCCTCGTGGTGCTCAAGATCTTCACCGCCGAATTTTACAGCATCGGGGCCCTATTCGCGATTTATGGCACTGGTGTCCTCATAATTGGACTCTTCCGCCGCTCTCAGGGAAACAGGCAGTTCTTCTCTGAAGTAGGAGAGGATGGGATTCATCGACACAAATTCAGGACCAGTGGGAATGCGGTGTTGGTTCTCACAGCACTGAGTATTGCGGCCTACGCGTGCTTGATTGGCCTGACCTTCAACCTGAGCAACTGATAAGGGACATTCTGCACGGAATCATACACTCCACCCACATCGTATCCAAGGTCCCTCTTATCCTCTTATCTTCTTGGCATACTACCTGGGGTACCCCCTGCGTTACCGCCAAGAGCCAAGGATTCCGCATCAGCCTACGGGATATGGGCCAACCCTTCCGGGGCTTACGGCAGCGGAGATCAGCGTGCTGGAACGGGAGCCTACAGTTGGTCGGAGATCAACCTGATATGTTGAGACAACGAGCCAAGGGAGCCGAGTATGCTCCGAGAAATGGGAGGGATCAGCCCGCGCGGGTAAGCCCCAGGTCACACCGTGTGGTCTAATTATTGGTCTTTGATCAACCGTGAGGCTGAGTCAAGATCCAAATTTGCTTTTGTTGAGCTGGCCAGTCTGAAATCAACCCACTAGGGGTGTGCTGATGCTGTCCGGAGATCCAAGAGAGGTTAACGGCTTGTGAGCACATGTCGGTGCATTAGGGGGATTTGCAAAGCACAGGGATCATATTGTATGTTTTGTTACTCCACCGTTTCTTTCAGATGCCGTAGCCAAGCATTCTCCCTTAGGCTAGAGATAGGATGAATATATCTTGCATAATCTGTGAGACCTCCCTCGCATGAGATCGTATGTATAAGATCTCTTTGATCCTGCCCTAAATCCATTCCTCCCCTTTCTGAAGTCCGTCCTGAGCTGTATATAGCTCACCTTTGACATCATACCTGGCGATCTTGCCTTCACATTATTGATCGTAGTCTTGATCCACTGCACTAGCTGCTTGACCCGCATAGCCATTTCGTCATTGAAAGCGATTCTCGCTTTAGGGCGCACTGCGTTCCTTTACCTCATTTGACAGTCGTTAGCGCCTATCCTTGGGACACATGCTACGCCATCAGGATAAAAAGCAAGCAAACTGTCAAAGATCCGACCTATAAGCAACCTGTTCTTGTTATTCTTGTTATTCTCGTGTTGGACATTGAAGGCAGCGAAGTGACGTTCTGATTGCCGGAGTTGACTCATCCGCAAACCCCCCTCCCGCCACTTTCTCTCTTTCCTCACCAAAATCCTGTCTCAGGGGATCCCATCGAAACCACAACGACTGGGTCATCTGCATCAGAAATCAAGTCCTGAAGAACAGGCGACACACTTTCTATAAAAGACAATACCAGAAGATCCCCTGCAGGGGATGGCACAGCATTCCAATATCGCTCGGTCGGCTATCATGATGTCGGCCACATCGCCTGACGGTGCAGGAGATCAAAGGAATAATATTCGGTCCAACAGCGCCGTGTCCACCGGGAATGGCTCGGGATCGGGAAAAGAAGGAGCCCTGCTGCCCCCGAAAACTGTGGTCAATCGAGCGCTAGGCAATGACTTGCATTCCGAGTCTTCACAGCCGCCCAAGGGTGGAGTCGGACACACTTTGGCTGACACTCCGGTTTCTACCGCACCCCCGTCTCCACAGATGTAAGTGTGTCCAATTTCCTTGCCTCAATCCTCTGGGGTCCTTGTTTCAGTCAGCTCCCTGGCCTATCAGAAGAATGATCGGCAAGATGCACCTCGGGATAGATCCCCGAGGCTGAATTGCAGCCTTATTCTGAGCTCGTCTGCTTACCCCGGACCCTAGACCCTGTTCTTATTGTCATTTTATGCGCTTAGCGAACCTTACCTGACGTTATTTTACCTACAGACTTGGCACTCATCAGCCTGCCGGAACTCCTAGCCGGGTGCGAGCAACCACTCTCGATATCCCCGGACTGACCAAATCCAAGGTGTCTCCAGATGGCCGAATTGCCCAACGTGATGTCGGTGCAAAGCTGGTCATTGTCATGGTCGGTCTTCCGGCCCGGGGCAAGAGTTACATTACCAAGAAATTGGCCCGGTACCTGAACTGGCTCCAACACGATACCGAAATCTTCAACGTTGGACAGCGTCGTCGTGTGGCTGCTGGAAAGTCTCCGTCGCCAGCCCCGCTTGGCCGCAATCGCAAGCCAAGCACTGTCCATAAGGATCTTGTTGACTCCGTGCGTAGGTTGAGTGTCAGCGTTGGGTCCACTTTGAAGACGTCCGAGACCTCTGAACCACCGATCAACGAGACACCGCTTCCCCCTCCAGTCGTTCCAGCTACGATTCTCGTCAACGGAGAGGAACCAGAACAGGTCTCTCAAAATGGAAGCATTGTGGTACCCTCGATCGATGCGGGCCCTGACCAATCCCGCGAGAACGGAGTACCTATCAAGGAGGCTTCTCCTGAACCAATTGACCAGACTGCAAGTTTCTTTGACCCCCAGAATCAGCGTGCTGTCAAGATGAGAGAGCAAGTGGCGCTCGACACTCTTGATGAGTTGCTCGACTACATTCTGGAGGAAGGCGGTAGCATCGGTATCCTTGATGCTACCAACAGCACCATGGAGCGTCGCAAGGCAATTGTTGATCACATTCGCAACCGCGCTGGCCCTGAGCTGAACATTCTGTTCCTCGAAAGTAGCTGTGTGGACCCAGATCTCCTCGAGGCTAACATGCGCTTGAAGCTTTCTGGTCCCGACTACAAGGGTCAGGACCCCGCCGTGGCTCTGGTCGATTTCAAGAAGCGTGTGGCTCTCTATGAGAAGTCTTATGTGCCCCTGGGTGAATATGAGGAGAGGAACCGCATGGCCTACATCCAGATGATTGATGTCGGTCGTAAAGTGGTCGCTCATCAGACCCATGGATTCCTCTCTTCTCAAGTTGTCTATTACCTGCTCAACTTCAACCTCTCCCCTCGCCAGATTTGGATCACACGGCATGGCGAGAGTCTGGATGACGCCGCTGGCCGCATTGGTGGCGATTCCGGTCTCAGCGAGAATGGTAGACGGTACGCAAAGGCGCTGGCTCGCTTCATTGACCATCAGCGTCAACAGTGGGAGACATACCAGCGACAAAAGGACCTTCTGAAACACTTCCCGCCGCGCCCTGGTGACAGCACACCTCCCAACCCATCTTATATCCCTCGAGAGGGACCTCGTAACTTCTGTGTTTGGTCTTCCATGATGCAACGCTCCGTTCAAACCGCCGAGTACTTCAACGAGGATGACTATGATGTCAAGCAGATGAGGATGCTTGACGAAATCCATTCCGGCAAGATGGAGGGCATGACCTACAAGGAAATCCAGGAACAGTACCCCGAGGAGTATGCCCACCGAAAGAAGGACAAGCTCTTCTACCGTTACCCCGGACCTGGTGGAGAAAGCTATCTCGACATTATTAACCGCTCTCGCGCGGTCATTGTCGAGGTTGAACGCACCACCGACCATGTGCTGCTTATCGGTCACAGATCTGTTGCCCGCGTGCTCCTGGCTTACTTCCGTGGCCTGAAGCGTGATGAGGTTGCCGATCTCGACGTCCCGATGGGCGTGCTGTATATGCTGGAACCGAAGCCTTATGGAGTTGATTTCAAGGCATACCGCTATAACACCGAGAGCGACTGGTTCGACTATCTCCCAAATTACGAACTGCATCAAGTCCGTACGCAGACGACCCATTAGAGCCCCTTCCAAGCAATCAAACATGGGGCTTCGCAATTCCATGACCTGCTACGATCTATCATGACTTGCCTCTGACATGACTTGGCCCGATCTCAACGGCTCCAGCCATCTGCCATTTCAATGCAAATGCTTTCTTCACTTTTTACCCTTTCTGGTGTTTATGGGCCTTTGATTTGCTTTCCCATCTGCATCCTGATTATGTATTATCATGCTTCTCTTCTCGTCATCTAGCTTGTGTTTTGTTCCCAGTTAGCACACGCCTATTGCATGCTAGGCGTTACTCTACTTTCTCATGCTGTCTGTTGTCTTGTTGCTATCCTCCTGGCACCTGGACATTAAGATAGAATTAGCCATGGCAATCTTGCTCAAAGGGGCTAGACAGCTTTACCATAGGCTGTCACTAGAACTGCTATTGCTGATTATAATAAAAGCATTCCGCTCAAGTTCATCAACCCTTCTCGTTCCCAACGTATGACATAAACTGAATAGATATCTTTTCTACTCCTCCCGCTTCACCTTCTCAAAGATCTCCAAGAAGGCCTCCGGCTCATCCGCGCCTTCAACATGATACTTCCCCTGCACAGAAATATAAGGCACACCAGAAACCAACCTCCTAGCCGCCGTCTTAGCCTCCAAATCCACTTCCTCCGCCCCAACGTCCTCATCCAACATCTTCTTCACGGCATCCCCATCCAACCCAGCCCCAACAGCAGCCTCAATCAAAACCTTCAAATCAGTAATATTCTTCTCCTCCTCAAAATAAGCCCGGAACAACTGCTCCGCAACGCGACTCTGCACTCCCCCAACCACCCCCTGCTTCTCCTCCTTCTCCTTCGCCATCTTAGCCTCCTGCTGACCAGCATACCACAGTAGTCGATGCGAATCCCGCGTCGACCCCGTATTCCCCCCAAAAGAGAAATGAATTCCTTCCCCTTCACCCACAGCGGCAAGTCTCGAGAAGATAGCGCTCATCCGCTCAGCTCCGAATTTCTGCGTGTACATCTCTGCCTTGTTGACGCCTGGATAGGCGGCTGCTGCTGGGTTGAGGTAGAATGCTTTCCAGTGCAGGCTGAATGTGTCTTCTGGGTTTGAGGCTTTGTGGGTTGTTATAGCCCTTGAGAGCCGGCGGTAGCCTACGAAGCACCACTGTAGGTTGGGGATACGGTTAGTTTTTTGTTGCGTCATAATATAAGTTATAGTTATAGTTATAGTTGGGGTTGAAGTTGGGGTTAGGGTTGGGCTGGGGTTGGGATTGAGGGATATTCACCGGGCACACAGTGTCTGATATGATTTGGATGTTGAAGTTTGTCATTGTGAGAGGCTTGGAATGTAAGACGAGGGGTTTGAGAGAAGAGGATTGGGTTTGGACTTTTTTATGGCTTCGGTTTCTTTTCATGTCGGGGACCGTCGATTTGTCAGCAGTGGACTGGGACGGAACTGGGACGGAACTGTTTCGTTGATGGGATATTTGGCTATGAAGGCGTTCGATCGCATAGCTACAACTTCATTGGATCTCTCCTATCTGGGGTATGGCCTCCTACTTTTGCATAGACCAGCCTGTGCCTGCCGATCCCCCACCGGGGCCCTTCGTGTTGGTGGCTGTCGATGTACTTCGGTGATCAGCAGCAAGCTTAAGGCATTAAGAGAGGATGAAGTGGCAAGTGAAAAGTATTTGGTATTGAGGTACACGCTATCATTCGATACATTTACACCGTAAGCTCCATAGATGCATGTCCCAAAATTGTAATCTGGACAAGAGCCAGCCGAGATATTTACTGGCCAACTCTTACATTTGTGACATAATTAAACAGAACCCCATTAAAGAACCTGCTGGGCCTCGTTGGCCCACTGAGCCCCCGAGTTACTGTCGAATACAGCCGACGAGTTGGAATGAATAGGCACGCTGACAGACGGGGGGTTCGGATTTTGCTCAAGTGCCGAGGTGTACTGTTTGGAAGTTAGTAAGATTCGGGGTTAGAAAGGCATAGGAGAATATCTCACCTTGAACACAAAGTTCAAGACCAAAGCAATGGCCAAACCGATGCAGACAACGATAGGACCGATCATGTTATCCAGGTCCTTCCCGCTTCGCTGACGGATGAGTCGCGCCCGTCTCTCGTACATGAACCATCCCCATACTGCAGCGAAGATGGCAAAGAATGTGTACACCACAGCCAGAGTCTGGGCAATTTTGTTGTGTTTGCCAGCAGCATTGTAAAGACCGAGGGACAGACTCGACAACAGGATACTGATGTGAAGCCATTTGATGAAGGTTCGCTGATTAGCAAGCCAGACCTTACTCTCCACACGAACGGGGCCAGCGTCCTTGATCCAGACACCAGGGTGTCGGACACCAGGAGGTAGGGAAACAGGGCTCTGTCCAAACCAGCGTTCGGGGGAGAATCCCACGGCCTGAAGAATTGACTCGAGACGAGAAGGCGGTTGAGGCTCTTCTTCTGGTTCATCAACATATTCGGGTTCTTGGTGTTGAATTGAAGGAATTTCAGGGATTGAAGGGTGGGAGGCCCGTGGTGCAGGCTCGGTGATGCCTGATTGTCTCCGTACGACAGAGGGGGAGCCTGCGTAGGAGTGGTGGTAGGGCGAACCGACAAGCGCACGAGTACTTGGACTGTTTGCTCCACCCATGAAGCTACCCACTGCTATATCTTCCTCCGCTCGTCGTGCCAATCTCTCTTGCTCTTCGTGGAATGCAGTTTCGGGATCACGGCGAATATCGTTTTCCAGCCCACTCAGCCAGAAGGGGAAACTGTTGACATAATCCTCGAACAATGAGGCAACACCGTGCACAAACTTGGAGAAACGAGGAGCATCCTTGACCAGATGGGAAACCATTAGATCGTTGACCCACTCGGTGTTGTGGCCCTTGCCCCGAAGTTGGATCTCGAGTAAAGCGTGAGGGAAGCGGTTGATCTCTCCAGTTCTGATATTATTGAAGGGATAGGTCATGTCGGCGTCATCCAAGTCGGCGCGGTGCCACTCAGCTGGGTCGCGACACGGACGTTCGCTGTCGAGAGAATCCTCCCGAATCAGGGCAAGGTTCGTATCGAGAGAGATGCGGATGCGGTCATCACCGGGGATTTGGAATGCGGTACGTGTGTAATTGGCACGGAGCATGGGTTGCAGGTCATTCTCCTTGATGAAAGATTGGAGCTCATCAATATCCTTTTTTAGAGCTTCGGCAGCTGCTGACTCTCCGTTGTTAGAATCCTCCATACGATTGACCTTCTTGTCGAAGCGGTATTCGCCGTCCAAGAATTCCTTGACGTGCTTATTCTTGAGTTGAATCTTGACCTGTCGACTTTCGTCTTCGTCGGTGACAATTTTCTTCTCCAAAAATACAGCAGGCTTGTCTTTCAGCGACCCCGTCCAGCGTAGTCGCAAAGATCCGGCCTCGGGGGCTCGTGCAACCTTCTGGTTGTAGAGGTCGAATTGAGGGTTGTCAAAGTATAGGGAGGTAATGGTCGGGTCTTCGGCCAGGGTATCGAGGTCCCTGGAAGTTCCGGGGTTATAAATAAGGACGGGGAGACGGCGAAGAATGTAAGTTTTGACTTCCAAAATGTTGTCCTCGTGGACCCAGAATTTGTAGGAAGAGTATGTATCACGGCCAAACCCGCGCTCTGGTTCTCTTGGTTGCACGATGTCTTGACTCAATGTCTCTCGAACAAAGGAGTACATCACCGAGAGTTGATGGACAAGTGGGGAGTAGTCCTCCGAGTTGAAAGGTAATTGGGACAGTCGCACTTGGAGCAACGGTTTCACTCGGTATCGGGCTCCACGCTTTCGGTCATGTTTCTTTGCAGCTTTGAGGAAGCCTGTAAAGTTGATCCGGCTGTATTTTTCCAAGGCACTGACTTCCTTTGTAATATTGTCCAGCTCTTGAAGAACCTCCGAAGCAATTGTTCTCTTCTTCTGATCGTCGAGCGCGGGGGCATCCTGCTCCGGGCCGGGTGCTAATGGTCGCAATTTAGCCTCACAGGCCGTTGTACGTTCTCGGAGTTGTTGTGAGGTCTCTGCCTGGAAGGAATTCACTTTGTCCAGCTGTACATTTAGCAATTCCTGTACAAAGGCCTCCTCATCTTGCTCGGTCCATTGATCGTCCTCCAAGTCGCTAGCATCCTCCCCAGTGACATCATGCTCCCTCAGCAGTGTCTTAAGCTTGGCGTAGTCAATATACTTTCCTTTCCAGGGAGGGTACACCGCAGTGCGGAGGGTCTTCCCAAACCGCATTTTGAGCCAGTCTGGTTGAGAATGAAGTTGTGCAGCTGGTTACTCAGGCACGGCCCTGCGCACTTTGGGAAGGGAGTAAAAGATAAGAGAAACGAAGAGACAATCCAATGTCCAGAAGGTGTTTAATAGAGAGGCTGTGAAGTGTTTGATCCTATTCACGGGCGAATGCAAAAGAAGCCTAAAAAGTAGCTTGAGATTAAGCGATGGCGGCAGCTTGAAACGGATGCGTAGAGCCAGCGATAGACGCACGTGCTCAACTGTGACCAATCAATGGCGAGGATATCTGACAGCTTGGGTGGCGAATCAAGACCTAGAGCATCACGTGAGAGGAAGATAAAGTCACATGATTGCATAAAAGGGAAACCGGAAAATCAACAGTCCCGAACCTTGGACCGGATTAACTCTTACCGGATTTTCCCGGACCTTATTTTATCCGAACCAGCTTTCATCCGATTATCGGGATTACTTTCATCCGAAACCATGCAGTACCTCGGACGTTACCGGTTCCAGGGCACGGGCCACCCTCCCTTGCCTTCAACTGGCGCGGTAAGCTCTCCGCTCCAGACCTCGGGAGGTTCTCGATGCTTATTTAATTGGCAGTATCAAATCAGTGTGCAAACCAGTGCGCAGTACCCTATGCAGAACGACATCGTTGATATAGGGTGCCCTGGGCTCTTCACCCATCTTCTTGATGGTCTCCACGATTTACATCGCCAACCATTTCCCCACGTTCCCAACCCACCCTCCGTCAAAAAACGCGCCTCGGTCGCTGTGATTCTCCACGTCCGACCAAGCTATGACCACTGGCCCGAAGCCTCCTTCCATGATAAGTCCGAATCGCCGACTGAGAAACGTCTCATCGATTTCTTTGCGCAGGACTGGGTACAAAACGGCGAGCCGGAAGTATTGTTCATCAAACGCTCCTCCCGGGTGGGGGATCGATGGACTGGTCACGTAGCATTACCTGGCGGGAAGAGAGACCCCCAAGATGAGGATGATCTAGCTGCGGCCATTCGAGAGGCTGAGGAGGAAATTGGTATTGATTTGACTGGCCCAGATTGTATTGCTGTGGGAAACCTCCCGGAGCGAGTGGTCTATGCCAACTTCGGGTCTGAAATGTATGATCCCTTTTCTTTCTTGCAAGAAGTCAACTAACGCCAACCGCAGTCTGATGGTTCTTTGTCCCTTCGTGTTCGTCGTCACCAGCAGCAGCATTCCACCTCTTCGTTTGCAACCTACCGAAGTAGCATCAATCCATTGGGTCCCGCTGCGCGCTCTCCTGTCACCTTCTCTACGAACCGTTGAAAATGTGGATGTGTCCCAACGGTTGCGACTGGCATTGCCAGGTGGATTCATGCCTCGTGCTGCAATCCGTTTTTTGATAGGCCAAATGCAATTCTCGGCCATCCGACTAATCCCCTCCGAGAGCCAGTACTGCACTACGGTTAAAGGCTTTATCCCTAATGCTAACAACCAAGCGGATTCGACTGACACTGCTCGACCACTGCTGCTTTGGGGACTGACTCTTGGGGTCATGACTGATTTCCTCAACATGCTCCCACCCCACCGCTCAATTCAACAGTGGGAATATCCTACTTTTACTGCCCCTGATCTGCGTTTTATTGTGGGCTTAATGACCTCCGGTCTGAGGAAGCGTAATACCTTTAATGCTACTACAGGCACTCGGCCTCGCCCAGCGTCCGATAAAAGGTGTTGGACTGGTCCTGTTGGGGTCTTGGGTCTTGGTGTGGCACGATACTATGGTCTGAAAGACCGTCCCACAGATGGGACTAACTATGCTGTGGGCATCCTGTTGCGCGGATATTACCAGCGTATTCGCCAAGCCATCTATGTATTCCTAGCATGGCGTGCAGTGGTTGTTTCGATCACTGGCATACTTGCATGGCGCTTCCTCCTACCCCGTTGAAATGTACGATAGCATGAGAATTTAAGTACAAATTAACATCGGTGTCAGTGCAAATCCTGCTAAGAACAGCGTTCTACTTCTGTGAGTATAGTCTCAGAGCATGCTGCGAGGAAATCAATTTTATTGATGTATATTTAATTGAAGAGCAACATAAGTAGCTACTGGTTTTCTGCCGAGTTATTGGGGGTTAAGACGGAACACACGGTAGGCGCTGTATCAGATGCATATGGAATATAGGTGATATTTTCTTGATATTCCGAGGCACAGTCTCGAGTCACCTAGAATTTCAAATACGTTGAAGGTTGCATAACTGCCTTTGACAATATGATTTGAGAAACTAGTATGGGGGAGCACTTGAACTTGCACTTTTGTAGAAACAAGTCACATGATTGAACTATAAGACACGATTTATGTAAGTATTCAGGTTCAATCCTAAATCTCTCGAAATAGTAGAAATAATTATTATGTAGGTCGGGGTTGGGAAGTATACATGTTACATACAATGTTTGGGGGTCACGCGGATCAGATTCCGGAGCTCCCCACTTCCGGTCAACATCCTCTTCTCTCCCTACACTCGCCATGGCTCAAAAGCTGTATCCACGAGGCACAGTCAAGCGCATTGTGAAAGCCCACTCGAACCGGAACGTGAGCAAAAACGCCGACATCCTGGTACGCTATCCCAGCCCGTATGAGAGACACCCCTAACCCGCTCTGTTCAGATCTTCCTCGACTATATGCTGTTCATGCAAGAGTATGTCTTCCTCTTTTATCTTGCTGCCCTCCAATTTACGCCCCGAGCACGACGTGTCTGAAACAGCCATAGGCTAACACCCTTTTGCAGGTTAATGCGCGAGGCCTCAATCAAGTCGCGTAAATCTGGCGAGAAGAACATCTCGGCCAATACGGTGCGCAAGGTTACTGAGGTATGTCTTATCTGACTGACGAGATCCGGGCTTGATCCAGACAACTTCTAGGGATCATAGCTGACGAGCCTTGATACTCATTTAGAAAACATTGCGCAAGTTCCAGGGATAGAAAATACCTCTCGGCATCAGTTGATTTCGCGACAAGTGGCAATGGGACATAGTACTGGAATTTGACGGACTTGCATAGATACTGTGATTTTGGGCACTGGTGGCGTACTGGCGCTTGGGATATGATACCCAACAAGACTGAAATAATGAATTGAAGTTATGATAACTTTTCACTGAATTGGAGCCTTGTAGTCATAGGCAGCGTAGAAAGAAGTGCTGGTTTGCTAGTAAAGAGCGCCCAAAGTGGCTGCACACACCGACCAAGGGTTTCGGACCCGCATATTGATTCTTCCTTCTTAACACTTCTTCTCCTGATCATCACTTCGCATTTTGCGTTCTCACCATTGTGCCCCTGTACAGGCCTTTAATACTTTCACTACCTGTGTTACCCACATTCCATCATGGCTCCCGCTTCCGCCACTCAGAAGCCCAAAGACCTCAAGGAGAAGGGTCTCTCCCGAGCTTCGAGCACCTCCAAGGCTGACCCTGAGAGCCCGGTTACTGAAGCCAATGGAAGTGAGAATGGCCACCTGAAGGAGCTTCAGAAGTATGATTCCCCTCGCGTGAATCTTGTTGCATGGCACTGGTCCAATGCGCAATGACTTTTCGGACAGAGTGAGCTAACCATATATTTCGTTCAGGTCTCTCCGCAATGCCGTTAAGAAACTAGTAAGCATCTAAGCTACAAACTCATTTGCGCATCACCTTCGATCCATCTTGTGCTAATGTCCCCTCCTCATCACAGAACTCTACCGCCAAGCTCGATGCCATCCTCGCTGAGAACCCCGGCAAGTCCCTCGACCAACTCATCGAGGAGAAGAAGATCAACAACGACCAGAAGGCTCAGGCTATGAAGAAGCCGTCTCTTCAAGCTGCCGTCAACCAGATTGAAGAGCAGATTGCCATCTACAAGCAGTTCGCTGCCCAATACGAAGAGAAGTTGGCCTCCCAGAAGGCTGAACTGTTGAAGGCGCACAAGGAGGAGCTGGAAGCTGTCCGTGGGAATGCCATTGCCGATGCGACTGAGTCTAGCGCAAAGGCACTGCGCGAGCGCCTGCTCACCATGAGTAAGTTCCTGTGCGCCGCGGCCAACCTCCGCCGCGAGGGTGATGCTACTACTCTGGAGAGTCTTGCATTTGAGGGTGTCCTGTTCCAGGTCTACGGTGGCTCTCAGGATGCAGTCAATGCAATGGTGAAGTTGATTGATGGTGCCGATGAAAAGGTCATTGGTGTCGAGGGTGATGCGCTTGAGTTCACCTGTGAGTAGCGGGTTACCCCTCCATACTGCTGAGTCTGTTTACTGATATTGGTTATCCTTAGATGGTGACGTGAAGCAGGCCTCCAACAGATTCGCTCCCGCCGAGGAGATCACCGAGACTGTCCCCGAGACCACACCCGCCTCTGACCCTACCATGGCCCACGCTGGCCTTACCGAGCTTCAGGATGCCTCTTTCGGTGCCGAAGCCGCCCCAGCCTCCGAGAAAGATCAGCTCGCCCCGCCTACCCAGACTCTCGTTTCCGATGCTGCCAACACTATTGCGGAGAAGAGCTATGGCTCTTTTGACCAGGCCGGTGACACCGGTAATGTCGAGCTTCCTCGCGACCCTGCCGAAACCGACACTGGCCTCCAGGCCACACCCGCCAGCGCCGATGGCGGTTTGAACAACGGTTCTGCTGGCGCTGACGTTGCGCAAGAGAACAGTGCCAAGGGCCAATCCAATGGACGTCGCGGACGGGGCCCACGTCGTGAGTCATCTCGCGGTGGTGGCCGAGGCCGAGGCGATGGCAAACAGGCCCGTGGTCGTGGTGGTGGTCGCGGTCGTGGCGGTCGTGGACGCGGTGGCGGCAATGGTTCGCCTGCTGAAGCCCAGCCAAAGACCAACGGTGGCACTAACTAATCCGCTGAAGTCTGCTTGCCACGGGCTGCTTCCTCGATATGGTTTTCCTATCGAGTGATCTCCGGGCCATCTGCTTTTTTATTATTCCCCTCTACGATCACTGGTCCGATTTCATGGATCACGAACGCAACGAATTTTCTTCACGGAGAGTCACTTTTTGATCTCTTCGTCTGGCTCTGCCAAAGTCTTATGGACCATGTTCTGCTATTTTTTTGAGCGTGCATATTCCCGATCTTCAGAGAGCTTTGCTCTCACGACATACATATGTATTTTATGGCTAATGTTTTATCGGCGCGTGTGAATGGACCGGTGGACAGGCTTAGTTCGGATATGAAGCGGAATTGATTGAGGTGACTTACACCGCTGCTTTCTCTATTCTTTGTAGATTTAGATGTAGACACTTGGATTCTAAAAAAAGAAAAGTATATATGCACGTGACGCCACGTTGCCCAAGCCACACTAAAACACGATAGGAAATCGACTAACGTTTAGCACGCAATCAGTGGAGCTTCGCCTACGATCAGATCAAATCGCGAGTACATCTGTTAACTCCCTTTCTTTCATCTTCTTACTCTCTTTTCTCCTTCAAGCCCTCAATCCAATCCAGCAATATATACCCAGCGCCGGCAAACATGGCCATCGCTAGCGCCCAACGTAAGCAGGTGTTGAAGGTGTTGATGCTTTCATTGTTGATAGATCTAGTAAGATGAATGCTCCTCCAAGCCACTAATCACCCTGGTCCAAACTAACAATACCTCCAGATCTCCTTTACATTTATTCTACCGCTCTTCCCCTCACTGCTCTCATTTTATCGCGCCCAAGATCCATCCCCGGATTCCCTTCTCAACCGCATCTTCCACTACCTAAACGCCTATAAGAACGCCTTCGCCCGTCCCATTGACTCGCGCTATGACATTGTCCTCCTCGGCGGAGCCCTCGGTTCACTATTCTCTCTCCTCCAGGCCTTCGCCGCCCCAGTCATTGGCCGCCTCTCCGACCGCTATGGCCGTCGTCGCGCCCTCCTCATCTCCATGATGGGCAATCTGTGGAGCGTCGCGCTATGGGTGTCAGCCCGGGACTTCCGCACTTTTCTCGCGAGCCGCATTATCGGCGGCTTGAGCGAGGCGAATGTGCAAATGGCCAATGCCATTGTGGCGGATGTCACGGATGCTGAGCATCGTGGCTCGTCCATGGCGTTGATTGGAGCTTGCTTCAGCATTGCGTTTACGTTCGGTCCGATGCTCGGTGCGGCCCTTAGCTCTGTTGATATTGTTGCCGAGAATCCCTTTATCGTGGCTGCCAGTGTTTCCTTAGCTTTGATCTTTGTAGAGACTACCTATCTCTGGGCTTGTTTGCCGGAGACGCATCCGCGGTTGACGGCACTTCAGCGTGAGGACGAGAACACGGAGACAAAGGGAGATGCGTCGAGTAAGAAGGCAGATGAGAAGAAGTCTGTCCCTGCTAATCGCGTCCATACTAACAGTCCTGCCCTTCTCAACGCTCTTCATTTCCTCTTCTTGCTTCCCTTCTCTGGCCTAGAATTCTCTCTTCCATTCTTAACTACCACTCTCTATGCAGGAACAGCTACAAAAGCTAGCCCTGCCGCATTGAACGGTCGTCTCCTATCTCTAATGGGCTTGATCGCTTCTCTCCTTCAGGGCACTCTAGTCCGTCGTCTTCCTTCTCTGATCACCCTCCGCGCCGGTGTCGTCGCCTGTGCCATCTCGTTTTTCTGTCTTGCTCAAGTTTCTTCTCCCTCGGGCCTGTATGCAGCCGGCGCTCTGCTGGCTGTTACCAGCGCTACCGTTGTAACGGGGTTGAACAGCCTGGGAAGCTTCGAGGCACAGGATGCGGACCGTGGCGCGGTTATGGGTCGTCTGCGAGGATGGGGGCAGGCTGGTAGGGCCACTGGTCCTATTGTGTTCTGCTCTTTGTTCTGGTGGGCTGGTCGTGAGGCTGCTTATACTGCTGGTGGTGTGGCCATGTCTGTTGTTGCGGTTGGCGTGTTTACTTTGTTGAAATCGCCTGCTGTGCACAAGAAGACCGAGTGATTGTCTCACTTGAAACTTGGCTGGCCGTATTGTGTCGCTGGTCGATGCGTTACGTGCATGTATTATCATCTTCATTGCGCTCATATCGGCACATGTATTGGGAATTTTTGGGGTACTCGATTGTATTTTTAGTCGAATGTACAACTGCTTATTTGATTTATTTGCTCAATAATCTAGTAACCGGGTATAATACATAGAGGAGTGGTGATGGTGAAAATGTCCTTATGGTTCTGCGAAATAGACAAGTTCAGGCGAAAGAGAGGAGTCTGGGAATTCGTCCAAAGGCCACATGAGATCAAAACGAAGCTGTATCTGCAGAACAAGCTCCCGCTTCCTCTATATGGCATGGAGCGAGCTCCATCAGTTCGGTGACATCTTTTTTTGATGCCAGTTATGTAGTCATGGTCTCCGGCGGTGACTCGAATCAAACCCATGATTCTGACAAGTCTCCATGGCTAACCCAGGATTTGTGACAGGATCCAACGAGCCACGCGCCTTGCCAATAAGCCAGTCTGTCAAAGTAACGAACTTCGCAGTCCGTTCCCAGCCATCCGCTTCATCGGCATGCTCAATGGTATGAGTCAAGATCCGACCCTCCTCGTCGAAAGAGAAGATAAATAGACCGGTAAACTGCTCTTCTTTTGAGAGCTTAAAGATAGGCTCTTCGCCCCCGAGAAGCACACTCAGGCCTTTATTAGTACCATTTTTCGAAGCGGAGAGATGACTCTCTTGTAACGAAGCAGAATTTTGAGATGCGGTTGTTGAACCCGTCTTCGACGAGGGAGACGGGTTGTGGAAAGGTCCGCTGTCTGTTCGAGGCTCGGTCTTCCAACGGACTATCAGTCGCTCATCGCCGCAGTCGTGGTGTTCACCGTTGCGCAATGGATCGAGTAGTGTGCCTGAGCGCACGATCCTTTCGCTGAGGATCTGTAGCTTCACGTTTCCGAGTAAGGGGACGCTGCTCCATGCGACTGGGACTGTCCATAGTGCTGCACGGTAGAGGGTGCGTCCTTTGACAGTTGGGAGGTGTGGATGTGTGGATGGGAAGAGATGGAGGTTCACGTTTGGGGCGAGGATTTTGGTGGGAAGAGTGTTGTACAAAAGGGTCGGGAGTAGGGGTGACAGGGTCCGTAATGCTTTTATAATGTTAGTCCAGCAGATCTGAACAGTGATTAAGACGACGTGCTTACTCTTTCCGAGCTTCAAGGTCCTTTCATCGGGTGGCTTATGGTCGTTTCTCTGGGGGGTTCTTTCCTCTCCGTCTAGTTCCCCGCGTACACGGCTCGGAGAGAAATATGTTGTTGGAAGTAGGGAGGCTGATGCTGGAGGAAGCCAGGGCTCATTGAGAAGGCCATGGCGCGGTTGTGCTAGCTGCAGTCGTGACAGCGAAACAAAAGATCGTGCTGACGCAGGGCTCTTATTGGGAAGAGAGATTCGCGGATAGACCAGCTTCGGCATTATGCTTCAATCATTGAGCTGATTCTAGTGTATTGTGTCGTCAAGCCATGGAGAATAGGTGGTTGAAGGTTGAAGGTTGAAGGTTGAAAGTTGAAAGTTGAAAGTTGAAAGTTGAAGATGGAGAAGTCCTATCTCCAATGACGTTGCCGGAGCCAATCACGTTCGGCCCGTATACAACCAGCCTATCTAGAAAAATACAGCGCATAGTTACATCGGGATATCTCATTCCTAATTTCCTCGATGATTCCATTCAAGGTACGAGTAATGTAAGTTTACTGACGTGTAAAGGAAATGGGAATAGAGTAGACCTGAGTCCCAAATCAAGCCAATTCATCATCATCACCCATTCCCATGACTCGTCGCTCTGCCAGATCGCGGATCTTATCCTCCAGAACACCACGTCCATAACGTTGTGCAACCTTAGCGGCTGCCTCGAGCATCTTGCCGTTGCGGTCCGTCATCATAGCCACCAACTCTAGTGCCTTCATTCCACGCTCCTCGCCCTCTCTGCATTCAATGGCCAGCATCTGCAGCAAGTTCTTATCCAGGTCGAGCTCTCTCCGCGCCATATCAGAACGCTGACTTGCTGTCGCATTGGTTGAGGACAACAAGTCGCGGAAGAGCGATAGGAGGATATTCCCGCGTACGAATGATTCCTCGAATCGGGATCCCTCGGTACGTTCTGCTGCTGCTTCTTCGGATTCGCTGGAATCTTTCGGGGGAACACTGGAGATAGGGATTTGGAAGTCGAACTCGCTGAGAAGTGGCCGTGGGAAGTAGGGGTTTTTGTCGCCACCCTTGAGGATGATACAGTGGAATTTGTCTTGTGCAACAGCGACTGGCCAGTATGTCTCTTCTTTCCGTCCACCTGAGAGACGTGCCATTTGCTTCGTGTCAAGGAGAGGAACCCACCGGGCTTGCCCGGGTGTGCGCCAGTGCTGTAGCACCAGTAGGACACCGGTGGAGTCGTAGATACAAGGATCCTAGGTATATGGTCAGTTTCGTTGTGCTCGTTCTTTTAGTTTAACTAAAACATACCCCGGAGTCGGAGAAGAAAACACTCTGCAATGAAGCCCCTTCCGGAAGGGCCACTGTATCTTCGTTCTGGCAAATCTCGTCACGCTTGACATTCTCCACCGTATATCGTAAACTCGTGTGGCGGCCATCGACTCCAATGGGTCCATTGCCGATGCTCATAATGTAGTCACGCCAGGCCGCGCAAGTGACTGCTTGACTCTTTTGCCTGTACACCTTGAAAGGGGTTCCAAAGAGAGTGTACACGCGGACATAGTCCTTTGATGTCACAGCGACGATGTATGAGTCGCTGAGCGCCAAAGCTAATGATGTATTAGCAAAATGATACAATGGGGACAGCCCTTCAATAACGCATACCTCGAACTTGTTCTCCCTCGGGCAATTGAGTTCGCCAGTCCGCTCGCGTAGTCCATGTCTCATGCGGTCGATAGAAGATAGTGGCAGCGCTGCCGTCAGAAGGACTATTGGCGAAAAGTGTACCGTTGTCATCTATACTTGATCAGCAACTAATCAACCAAAAGCCAAACCAGGGCCAAACTCACTCAGACAAGCCTTGTCGTACATATAAGGATCGGTGAAATGGAAGTCTCGATGAGCCTCTCGGTCATAGAATTCCACAGTCACAGTATGGTGCGTTTCTTGGTCAACAGTCCAGACAGCACCAATCAAGTTCAGACCTGGCCATGTTAGCAATTCCATTTATACCAAATTGGTGTCAAAACATACAGAGATATCTCCTACTTCCAGCCCATGGCGTGCTGCCAGGCTGGAGAGGCGGGTGGGCCAAGGGCTGCAAACTACCGCCAGAATGAATTCGCTTGCTGTCGGGGCCACCAATGTCATCGAGATGACCATTTGGCCGCTTTCCATAGGGATTGAGCTCATCCTCGGCATAGCCAGCTCCATCATCGTCATCAACAAAATCGCCCATCTCTTCATCGCCTCCTAGGATATCATCCAGCGAGTCTGGGGTTCCCCTTCTGGCAGCTCGCTGAATGGCCTCCTTGGACCGATCTGCCAACGTTGTTCGCTGGACATTGCTAGAGATCTCGCCGAGAGGACCAGGGAAGATAGGGGCAGCCTGCAGGGACTTCTGCAGGAGTGATTCGTGGTCTTTCGGTACAAAATTATCATAGATGAAAAGCTCTCCATCTGAGGTCGTGAATGAAAGCGAGTTCTTAGTCGGGTGCCATGCAAGGTTCATAACATTTCCAAAGTCGTATCGTTGTAGGATCTTCTGCGTCTTTGCTTCCCAGAGCACAATTTGTCCGTCTGCCGCTGCAGAAGCCAGAAGAGTTCCGTTCGGGGCCCAGCTCAATGCCGTGATATCGCCGGTATGCCCCCCGGCAAACGTCTTCTCTTTCTTCCACTCAGTAGTGGAGTAGATTGAGATATCTCTTGTTGCTTCAGCAGAGGCAAATGCAGTTCCGTCGGGGTGCCACACAGCTCGCGATGTCGCCTCGGCATCCGGCTCCAGTCGTCGAATCACCCCATCAAGTTTGCGGACCAGTTCCGGCTCCTCTTCGTGCAAAGAGTAGATGTATAGAATGCCGTCAGTGCCGGATACCGTTGCATAATGGCCATTGGGATCGAATGTGACGTGCTTTGTTCCCTTGGACTGTTCCCGAAGGTACTTCACTTGCGTCATGTCGTCAACTTTTACCATTTTGACCGTGAGTTCACTAGTTCAGCTACTTTAGCAGTCAATTTCCTGCATGCGTCAATGTCATACTCACTCGCTTGCTACAGCCACCCACTCCCCATCTCTCGTCACTGCGATATCCCTCACTGGCAAAGCACATCGGACTAGCAAGTTCTGCATCTTGCCAGACAGAATGTCATACTGCCAGACCGTTCCATCCTCGGCACCCATGATGAAAGACCCATTCTGGTGACCCTGTCAGCTCCATTAGCGAGACCGCGGAATCTCCAACCTACCGTAGCACCGATACCGAAATGCGCGTCGACACCCTCGTCAATGGTCTTGGGCTCGCCATCCTCGCCGACCGTGTAGATGCGAATTGCGGAATTCGAACCGCCAGTGATGATCCGTCGGCCGTCAGGCGTGTATGCCAATACTGTTGTACCGGGAGTGTCTGTAGAGCGCGTTGTTAACAGGTGTCGCCGACAGGCTCATCCGAATAGCTTACGGGCTGGTCGCCCCCGCGGGCGAAGAGCGTCAAAACTCATCTCTAACGAGATCTGACGTAGCTAATTGAAGTTACAGTCAACAAGTCTGGAGGAGCCTCGATCCCAACCTGGTGGATCGCAAAGGCCAGGGACCTCCGACGCGTTCGCGTGACGCGCCTTGATTTAACCCGATTTGGAAACAAAATAGGGCTCAGGGCTCAGGGTAAGGGCCTCTGCCCCTAGACTGGAGGTATGCATTTCAATAGATTCATTCATTTAGTTTTAGATTGTTTCCACTAATTGGCACCTCCAGCAGTCAAGAAATCAAAATCTGCTCCTTCCTGAGCTTGGTTCACCGACCGCTCATACAACCCCCGGTATCCTCTCCGCTGCTTTCGCGTCTGCACATCCCCTGCAAGGACCTGTTTGCGTTTTTCGATCCGAGCCTGCAATACTGAATCAGAGACATCCAATTGCAGCTTGCGAGTCTCGATATCGCAGATGATTAAGTCCCCGGTCTCCACTGCACCAAATGGGGAATCTGGCAGCGCAGCTTCGGGCGAGATATGAAGAATGATGGTACCACCGGCCGTTCCTGACATTCGACCATCAGACAGACGCAGCATATCTTTGACTCCTGCTTCTCCTAGCTTCTTTGGGATCGGTATAAGGCCAGCCTCGGGCATACCGGGGTTGCCAACTGGACCAATGTTTTTCAGGACAAGCACGCTATCCTTCGTAACGGCGAGTTCTGGATCGTCGATACGCTTGGCTAGATCGGCTGAGTTTTCGAACACTACAGCCAGTCCAGTGTGGGAGAGCAGATGCCTATACTTGGATGCCGAGGCTTTGATAACCGCTCCATCTGGAGCAAGGTTGCCGCGAAGGACGACCAACGAAGATGAGGGAAATAGCGGATCGGACATTGGCCGAATGATCTGCTGTGCGAAGGAAAGTTTGGTCTGAGATGCATCTAAGACCTCGCCCAATGTTTGCCCAGTGATCGTCGAGGCAGATAAATGAAGCAAAGGCCGAAGCACTTGCAAGAGCGCCATCATGCCTCCTGCATTGTGGAAGTCGTTCATATAGTTATCTCCACTTGGTTTGAGATCAATCAGCAGTGGGGTCCTGCGTCCGATCTCTTCAAAAGTGTCAAGAGTGATTACTCCCTGAAGCTCTGGGTGCCTATTGGCAATGGCCAACAAATGAACCACCGCATTCGTTGAGCCACCAATGGCCTGGAGAACTGTGATAGCATTGCAGAATGATTTCTTCGTCAAAATATCCTGGGGTTTTCTTTGGGATTTGGCAATTGCAACTGCATTTGCACCTGTTTCTTCTGCAATTCGCAGTCTGGCTGATGACACTGCTGGTGCAGACGCACCCTTGAGTGGCATCATACCTAGGGCAGCAGTGACACAAGCCATTGTGCTAGCAGTGCCCATGACACCACATGTCCCTATCTGTAGGGATATTGGCCGACGTTAGCTGACAAGGTAGGTTCATCTTTGCCGAGGTAACTCTCCCTGCACATACCGTGGGAGCAAGCTCTTCATTAATTGCTGAGATCTCCTCAACATCAATCTCGCCTGCTCTGAATGCTGCCCAATTGTTTCGGCAGTCAGTGCAAGCACCAATACGCTGTCCGCGGTGACTCCCTGGCATCATGGGGCCGGTGATCAAAGGTAGAACCGGCTTGTTGGCAGAAATACCACCCATCAGCTGTGCTGGAACCGTCTTATCACATCCTTATATACGTCAATAATGATGCTAATAAGCTATCAAGACAATATAAATGTAGATACTCACCCCCGATCATGATACACGCATCCAATGGCTGAGCCCGTATCATCTCCTCGGTATCCATGCTCATGAGATTCCTTAAAAACATGCTAGTCGGAGCTGAGAAGGACTCAGCAACACTGATAGTAGGAAATTCTATCGCCAGTCCTCCATTAAGCTGCACGCCGCGCTTAGCAGCCTCGATGAGCTGGGGCACATTGGCGTGGCAGGGGTTGTAACCAGAGAAAGTATTGATAATTCCCACAATTGGACGTGATAACGCATCTTCTGAATACCCAAGTGCCTTAATAAACACCTTGCGAAGGAAAAGCGAGAAGTGTGCATCCCCATAGGAGGTTAGGCCCTGACGAAGTCCCGAAGTGGAAGTGATTGGGGTTGTGAGATCATAATCCCTGTTGGGTTCTTCATCATTCTGCATTGTCGAGATTTGAAGCAATTACAAAATACCACAAAGACCTACGCAATGGCTTATATATTCCCCTCCTCTTAGTGGATGGTGTCATCGGTGCAAGCCCGACCCGGATATTAATCCGAGCCGAGGAAGTATAAAATACTACTTGGAGTCAAATCTTGAATTACTGTTGAAATTCTGGCTCTATGCAATGTGGGCCTAAATGCGATTTACACCCTAGACTTCATCTTCACCCTCAGCTCCTTCGTCGGTCGGAAAGCTCCCCAGCTAATTTTGTGCCCGGGGACTGCGAGAGATTTACCACTCTTGGGCTCAATCTCCCACATTGCCACAACTCCAGCGGTAAATATCAGGATGGTTCTCTCAATGAAAGCACCATTCGTAGTTCCATATAGTCCGCCCGCAAATGGAGCAAGGATATTTAGATCAGCCTGCTGTTTGCCAGTTGCAGGGTCTGTTACAAGGAACCGAAGAGGGTCGTATTGATCTGGGTTGGAGAAGTATCGAGAATCATGATGATAGGAGCCGTGTGAAAGGATGACCTTCTCATCTTTGCGAATTGTGTAGGTGCGAGGTTCAGTCAGGCCGTAGGCGGCTTCTTCTGCCGACTCGGAAAGTGTAATGTCGGATGCCAGTTTTTTGGAAGTGATTCCTGCACAGTGAAGGCGCACAGTTTCGTAGTAGCATGCCCTGAACAACGGGCAAGATTCGAGCACTTTCTCGATATCGAGGCTGAGCCGAGGAGGTTCATCGAATGGGAACCCAGTCTCTTGGCGGCTTGGTCGAGAAGCTACCACGTAAGAGGATATTTCCTTGCGGACCTGCTCAAGGAGTGGAGGATCTGAGAATAGGTGGGTGATTGTCCAGAAAGCGATCTTGCTTGTGTGCTCGATCAGCTCATAATACAAGGACAAGTGTCCCGCAGCACTGGCACTGGGGGAAAGCTCCAGCTTGCAGAAAGTTCGCATCCGATCTTTGACTAGCTCTGAAGCATCGTCGAGATCCCGTAGTTCAATGCCGGGATCAATCCCGTCGTCCCAAGCGACGAGAGCTCGGTGAAAGATTGACATGATATGACGGAGCCGATCACGCGCCGCATGACCTGCTGAAGCAGAAGGGTGTGGTATATAACGAGGAGTACCAATAAATAGCGTCACATAGCTGCTGTCAAGAGTGCCAAGATCTTCCGACAAACCAGGGAACGCTTCTACAAAAGCATCGCCCATCAGAAAGGTAGTGGTGATGTGGCCGACGAAATTGCTCACAAGAGCAAACAAGTTCGCTTCACAGAATGATTGATCCCCTTCATCAGGTAGCTCTACCTGACTGCTTCCACGCTCCCAAGGGTTCTGGTCAACAAGGCTGCGGCAGAAGCTCACCAGGTTCGGCATGTTACCTTGCACCAATCGAGTGATTGCGGACGAAGCATCAGTGATAAAAGGCTTTCCATTGATAATCGAAGTGGCATTGTCACTGATACCTTGGTTTTGAGCCAGTTTCAGTTTGCGCGTGAGACCGCGGTCGCCAAAGACATTTTGCAACGCCTGATCGAGGACATGAGCACTCGAAGCATCTTCTGCGGAGGAGACGGTCTTCATCATATGTGGTGAGAGCACGGCATTGTGCTTCTCGCCGCGCAAATAGAGGCCAAAGACAGGCTCATTCATGGATTCTCTATAAGCTATTATTAGCAACTGTGCAGAACAAGGTAAAAATTGAATACACCTACCGTGTTCTCATGAAGAAGTTGACATGATTCCACAAGAAAGGAAATCCATGTCCAATCCAAGGGATCCAGTAGGGCGCTAATAGTACTGCCCTTGGTTTTGAAGGGTCTTGATCGCGGCGCTGACTTTGAAGCCCCGAGATAAAACGGGTCGTGATGCATGCGAAAACAACAACAGCAAAGAATGTAGGCCAACTTACATGAGGCAACCCATTTCGGGCGCTCTGCAAAAGACCATTGGGTGAGGTTTCATACTCCATGGTGATAATATGGATTGGCAATAACAAACACTGCCATCCGAGATGACACGGTGTTCCAACTCCCACGCTCGCACAAGTCTCGAAGTTCACAGGATTTGGCCAGGAACAGGTAAATATTGAATTCCAAGACTCTCAAATATGTATTGATTCAGGCGATGAAAGGGACACGATGGCGCGGTCGAGTTCTTTCCCTTGCTGACTCATCTTGGAAGCCTGAGGTCTCACTTGGACATTTTGATAATTTGCACTGATGGTTTTTATTTGTCAATACGTTACTTGTTCCCTATTTAGTGATGTAGAATCCGAGTTGAATGAAGATGTAAATAGTACTTTGACGTCGGTGTTCCGACGTGGTTCACATGTATACAAGACCGAACTCACGATATATTGTGAGCAAATAAACCATCTCCTAGCTAACAGAAGGTGTTACTTAACTAAGAGATCAGCATTGCTAGTTGGCAACCTAAAGCCTTACTGGAGCACACAAAACATCAGAATCAAATCAGGGAATCCATTTCTGCTCACCCGGAGCAAGATTAGCATTCCGTCGCCGATGAGAGCACCAGAGACCCAATGCGAACGCATTGCAGGAAATTGACTAGCAGCATTCACAGAATGACCAGTCTGATAACGAAGGGCCGGTTGATCTTGATAGATCCACACGCCTATGATCTGACGTGGTCCGGTGAACGCAATATTGGGACCACTTGCTAGTGATGCTGCAGTGGCGCTGTGAACATTATCCGAAACCCATGCATATAGTGCGGCAATTCTCCAAAAACAGAGCATGTACAGAGCACAAGCATAGCATATCGAAGATGAAGACTTGGACTTGGGACACAGGCTTCAGAAGGTACGGTAAGGAAGATTTGGTATGAAGTATGAAGCGAGACATGATCTCTTTGTCTGGGATGAGAAACGTAGCAAATGCCATAAAGAGCCCAGGATAGCCAATCCCATGAACGAGGGTAGGTGCAAACAGTGATAGAGAGGAGACACCAATGCCAACACAAAGATAAGTGAAGTAGTGCATCTACAGACGGGCTTCTTTCAAGGTACATTTGGCATCATTCCAATTAAGCGAGTCATCACTGCATTTCCAGCTCAGCCTTTGCATCGAAATTGGTAAAAAGTACTTACCCTCGAGGGATATTCTGACCAAATGAGGCTTGCAGAATAGACTTTTCTTTAGCAGTGAGCCACTTTGCCTTCTCTGGGTAACTCTGAAACGGCGACAGCCAAAAATTACAATGGTAAGCCCTCGATGATGAACAACCACCGCCAATCGAAGACATGAGATCATCATCTGTGTCGCTATTGAGGACTTTTGCGTTCCCTTACAGGATATGAGTTTTATACAGGGATATAGAGGAGACTCGTTGTTCTCACCGATGTTGGTCCGGTCCAGATAGCACAAGAGGTAAGTCAAAGCTACCAAGGGCAGAATTCGACGGTCAATCTTCCTATAAACTATGAAATGGTTAGAAGTTTGCCCCCGTAATAAGACAGGAAGTATCTTACCGTGCATAGTCTTCCTTTGTTGGTTCGGCAGTGCTATTATCCAAATACTCTAGATGTATACACCCCGCATAATAAGTCCGGGGCAGCAATGATTGACTGATGTAGTTGAAAGAAGAATTCAGTAATTGGTCCCTGATAAGAAGAAGACACCAGGACTCGGCTGTAGGCCGCGGACTCATACTCAGAAGCTAGAAATCGGACAACAAGCAGCCGTATAGTTCCATACTAGATACTCAACGAGACAATAAAATGGTGAGATAATTCAGTAAGACGAATAGTCGAGAGATAATATTGAGATGAGACAGACAGTAACTAAATTCAGTTCTCATTCTGCAGGAGCTTCGACAGCGCAGCGCTCTCGCTCTCATACTTGAGGATTTTGGCTTGCGATCCATGAACCTTGCGTAGAAGCCACTCAATCCTAGAAGTGAGCTCCCAGGGATACTTTGGCAAAGAACCGAGGACCTGTAGTTCCTGCTCATACTTACTGATACTCGAGTTCTCGTTGCTCATAAGCTGTGCAAGAATCAACATGTCAAGGCGACCCTGCAGGGTCTTGTTCTCGACTAGGCGCTGGAAAGCAGCGCGATAGACCGGCTTTCCGGGCTTGATGTATCGTGGGAATCCCTTATCAGTTCCCACAGAGATGAGCTCTGATTGCTCCAGAGCGTGCAGAGTGGCCTCGCCATTATCTTTGAATAGATCAGAGAGAAGGACTTTGTTGTACAGTAGAGTACCATCCTTGGAGCGGGCCAGGGACTTTATCAGATGCCACGCTTGTTCACGAGTCCACTGAGGTGTCACCGAGTCTGTACCCAGGATGAATATTTTCAAAATCTCCGATGCCGACTGCTCAATGATACGGTTCACGGCAGCTATATTGATTGTTAGAAGCGTTCTCAGCCGAAACAAAATTTAGACATACCTTCAGGAGACTCGCCGGCTTCAATCCGATGAGCCATGAACTCAAGGTCAGTAACTCGGCCGCCCAATACCTTAATGCAAGAATCCAAGCCATGAAGTGTTTCCTTGCGTCTCGCATCCTGCTCTTTGTCACCCTCGCCTGCCGCTGCGTCCAGATGACTTAGAACGAAACGACGGCCAACTTCGAGTGAGCAGTCACCTAGGCCAATTGTGCGGAACACTTGATTAGGGAGGGCCTTGCTCAAAGGCTTCGCAAAGGAGGAATCAGTTGTTAAAAAGATGACATGTGCAATATTAGCTGAGGTCAGACCAGCCGCCCACTGAGTCATCTTGTCGAGCACAACACTGTTGTCTGCATCATACATGAAGTTATCAATGACGACAACAGGTCGTTTCTCCGGGTGACCCTCCAGGTATTCATCCTCGGACACATTGAAATCTTTGTCCTCCTTGCGTCTTCCTTCCAAAGCAACCCGCCTCATAGCAACAGCTGTGTTCTGCCAGATCTTGCTCAGCTGCGCATCGAGTGTCTCAGAGAATCCAGCCTTGGTACCAATCATTCCCTGTGCAGCCAGGTCAATCAAGCTGCTGAGGCTGTTCATCCAAGAAAAAATCGGTCGGTAGCCGACCTGCGCCGCCGCTCGCGAGATCTTAGCCGTGTCGCCTCGAGCATCTTGGATTTGCTTGCAGTCAATCACGACCTTGTACTTGTGCTCTTTCAGCGCCTGTTCCAAGACCAACTCGCGTTTACCGGAGCCCCGTGGCCCATGAATGACGATAAATGTTTCCGCAGTCTCAGTTAACCAGGCTTGCAGCTGTGAGATATCCTTTTGTCGGTCTTCCCAGATAGCTGCCAGGCCACGCGGGTCTGATTTATTCTTTCCAAAAGAGAACATGTTGGCTTTGCTGGCTTGTGCGCGAACCCATTGCAAGATTGGGTTCTCCTCATGTTGCAAAGTCGACTTGATTTTGAGTTTGATGAAGAATGTGCGAATTGGATCAAAGATAATGACTGTGATGGTGGCAATCAAGGCAGCAAAAGCGGGAATAACTATTCTTGGATGGTTCAGGATCCAGTCTTTGATCATAGACAGCTTGATCTTGCGTTCGTAATTGATCTTGAACCTAGTACCGGATTTCCCGCCGCCAGCTTCCTCAGAAACAATAAAGCCATGCATACAGTTTCTTGCCATGACAGCAAACCGAGGTCGTTCGAATCGCAGAGTCGCATACCGAGGTTCCACTTTGGAGTCGGAAGGTTGGGGTTGAATATCCAGAAGCTTTCCATATGGGCGAAACAGCGAGTACAGGGATTCTTGGGTTAGCTGGGCAGCTGAGGTATCGGGGGAAGTAGACAGGAATTCCACCTTGATGGTCTGGCTTGGAATTCGATAAAGGTCTTCGATCCACGGTATTCCACGCACGATGTCCGCATCAACCGTCTGGAATGGATTGAACCAGGGATTGATAGGATTCTTTTGTAGATGCTCTTTGACTGCGTTCTGGATAGACTCGTCATCCACATCTGGCTTGCGCGCATACTTCACGAACGCACCGCCTTCTTTATACCTAGTGACAACCTCTTTGATCTCCAGATCCAAGCCTTTAGGCAGTGACCTTTGAACAATCCGAAGCGGATCAGACGCTGCCAGTCCGGGCTTGTTGATCCGTGTCAATATGCCTCCAAGAGGCTGTACGTGGCTGAGGGGTCCCCGTAGGAACCACTGTAACCGATGCGGGAAGATATCTAGAGATGGTCAGCGAAAAAGAAACAGAAGCATGGACAGTTACAGTGCATACTATTCACGTAGATTATTCCTTCATTTTCTCCTCGTGAAATATGTCCTGACTGGATAGAAGATGTGCAACGTATTGTCGAGCGTCCCCAAAGCGGAGGTCTCCACCCTCGGCCAAACGCGTTGGCGTTGATATGAGAGCGTGGAGAGCAAGCCGCCAAGGGAACTCTTGTGAAGGGTGCCTGTCTCATTTTGACAGAGACATACCGAAGTGGGAAAAAAATATTCTTGGAAGAGAGATCCAGTGTCTAAATCGATCAACCGCACATGAATGACGTCGTGTTCTTGATGATGGGGCTTGTTATCGATCACGTGATGTTTGATTACGAAAAAAGATAACCGCAGTCAACTTGTCGCGACATCCATCAATCACACCTGGTCTATTGTACAGCGCAAAATGGGCTGGCTATGGGGCTCAAGTCCTAGTGACACATCCAAGGACTCTCCATCCACGACACCTGCGGAACCACAACAGCAGAATGCACCACCGAAGACCCTGACCCCCAACGAACAAGCCGACCTGGAATGGAACTCAATCCTCGCCGACCTCAGAGCAGAGGATGCTACCCTTTCGAAGGGTACCTCTAGTGGTCTCACATCTGATGGCAATGCCTCAACACAACCCGAAACACCTACATCACCCATCGCTCCCGAATCCCTCTATCAAGATACCATGTCCTGCCGCAACGCCTTTGACTACGCCTTCTTCTGCCAGTCTTTCGGAGGGCAGTTTGTGAATGTTTATCGATATGGAGAACTACGGTCCTGCAGCGATCACTGGGATAATCTGTGGCTGTGCATGAAGACGCGCACATGGCCTGAGAACCTGCGCAAGAAGGCGATCCTAGACCACAACCGAAAGAAGGCCATCAAGTATAAAACTGGCCCCAGTAGTGAGGATGTCTGGGATGTACGGCTGGAACCGGCTCGGGACTCGTTCAAGGGGGACTTTGCCGCCTTGGAGCGGGAAATGAAGGCCGAAGAGGAGGAGGAGGCGAGACAAAAGGCGGCTTCATGATACCCCTTGTCTTTTTCCCTTAGGGGTTTTTGTTACAATATGTAGATATTATTGCTTTTCTCATCCGCTCATGTATAATATGACCTTCTCGATTCTCCCAGTGTTTGAGAGTCCTTTGTAGAAATTGTAGACGACTAAACAGTCAATTGGTTTCGGGGTTCATATCCCCACTAGATCTTTCTACATATCTTTCCATCTATATTCAAGTTAGGGGTTTCTATACAAAATCTACACGTTGTTCGAATAGTTGAAAAGAAACAAAATCCCTGAATTGCATCACTGTATAAACAACAGAAAAAACCGCTCCATTGCTATGCGACACTCCAAAATGCCACGCTAAAAACACAAGATTGAAGAATTTATCGAAGCCCAGCCACAGAATCTCTTCATGAGACACTCGTATCAACGAAAATCAAAGAGCTCAAAGACATGGCAAATACATGTCTCTGGGTAACAAAAGAACAAGTCAAACAGCCTTATATAGATAGTCTTGGCAGTAAAGGAGCAGGAAGTGGTTGATGTTCCTGGAACCTGTGAGTAGCCGATGTGCATGTATAAAAGCCCAGTTGCGAAGCACGACCTGCTGCAGAGAACAACTCGATAATGTCAGCATCGAAGCGAATGATACAAGGGAAATAGAAAAGCCACGGTAATGTTCCTCCCCAGAACCTCTCAAGCCAGACTAATTAGTGCCTCCTGCCCTGTTCCTGTTGCTCGTTAAATTTCCGCTCTTTATAGTGGATCTTATCTACCTCGTTAGGAACTCGTCTGCTAAGCTCTCTACGCCCGGGGCTTGATGAAGGACTTCTTGGCTCTGGCTGTGACTGTAGTCTTCTTCCCCTGGCCTCATCGGACTCTTGTTCGTGTGGAATGGTCATAGTCGGTGCCGACGTGGGCCCGTCAGCACCGCCAGCACCGCTATTATGACCTTCTACCTGTGACGATGTGGATGGATTAGCAGTAGAGGTCTGGGACCAATCAATAGGAGGCATGTTCTTCGCATCGAGATTGTCGGGGACACTGCGAGGGGTCGGTCTTCCGCCATAAGGGTGATGCCTTGAGCTATTCATACGAGATCCTGTTCTCATTGACATTCTACGGAGCGCTCCCATTCTGCCACCACTAAACGCGGCAGAGTGCCCTCTCCGTGTGGTAGAAGTTCCGCTGCGAGATACTGGCCGGCTTCCATCAGGTAAGGTTCCCGATATGCGTCCGTCATTATAAATGCGCATGTTTACCCGCTGACCATCGATCTCGCGAATAGTAACAAAGCCGTTTGGGTGATCGCTGGGCTCATCACTGCCGTCCTTTGTTGATGTTTGTCTTGTGGCCTCTGGCATTTTGAGATTGAGCCTATCGAATCGGCAACTTTGAGATGCTTGATGTTGGATGGATACTGGAGTGGATGTTTTAAACGCTTGGATGATTGGATGATTGGATGCTTGATGAATTGGAATGTACCGAAACATGAGGGAAAGAGAACGCTTAAATACTTTCGCTGGCACTCATCAAAGCCGGCGGTATCAAGCAAGTTTGATAAAGAAAAGCTGCAGAAATAGCAGCCACAACGATATCGTCGACTACTTTACTTTGATTTCTTTGTTCTGTCCTCTGCCGTCTCTCTTCAGAGATAATTAAAGCTGTGACGGCGTTCCGACGAGTGTCACGGTGAGTTCGATAGTAAGAATGGAACAAAGAGTCAAATTTTCAGAAATGGAAAGGCTATTTACAGCAATGTAGAGAGATTACCGTATTGGTAGACGCTCTAAATACCTTGCAGACTTGAAGAAAACAACGCTAGGACAGAAACAAAGAACAAGGAATCAAGAATAGAATAATTGAAAACAACATCAAAAAGCGCAGTACCAGGGCTTTTGTTGAACTGCTCCGATCATGAGCAAAAAACCGTCTAAATCACAGATGTATCTCATTTGAGGAACTTTTAGTTTCCTCAAAGTTTTGGTCATAGTCGTGGCCGTCAGTCATAAACATGTCCCGTAGGCCCCCAATTTAGGCGACAACTTGGGTCTCGATAGGCTGGGGAACGGTGTCGATGGCAGGACGGCGTACGATACCACCGGTTACAGGAAGCTGAGAGCTGGTGCCGCTAAGGAAGGCGTCCACCTCGCGAGCACACTGGCGACCTTCGTTGATACCCCTAGAACCAAGTTAGTTTATTGCTGCGATGTAGAATATAAGGTTGGGTGAAAACTTACCAGACAATCAAAGACTGCCCACGGCGGCAATCACCAGCGGCGTAGACGCCGGCAATGTTGGTCGAGTAGTGACCGGGGGGAGTTTTGACATTCTTGCGAGGATCACGGTCGATTTCCTCGCCGAGGAGACGGTCCTCAGGACCCAAGAAGCCCATGGAGAGGAGAACAAGGTCAGCAGGGAAGAACTGCTCACTGCCCTCGACGGTCTTCATGTCCCAACCACCAGTAGCACTCTTCGTCCACTCAACACGAACGGTGTTGATGCCCTTGACGCGGTTGTTGCCATCATCAACGAACTCGGTCGACATGACACAGTATTCACGGGGGTCCTTGCCCATGTGTGTCTTGACCTCAGAGTGGCCGTAGTCGACACGGTAGATACGAGGCCACTGGGGCCAAGGGTTGTCGCGGGCACGCTCTGGGGGAGGCTGAGGCAGCAACTCGAAGTTGGTCACCGACTTGGCACCGTGGCGGACTGAGGTACCGATACAGTCGTTTCCGGTATCGCCACCACCAATGACGACGACGTGCTTGTCCTTGGCAGAGATGTATTCGCCATCCGAAAGTCCAGAGTCAAGAAGAGACTTGGTGTTCTTGTGCAGGAACTGCATGGCGAAGTGCACGCCATCGAGCTCACGGCCAGTGACCTTAAGGTCACGAGCGACGGTGGCACCGGTGGCAATGATGACAGCGTCGTTGCTGGCACGAAGGGACTCGAGAGAAACCTCGCAGTCTGGACCAACAGCAGTGCTGGCAACGAACTTGATACCTTCGGCAGCCATGAGATCAACGCGGCGCTGGACAACCTTCTTATCGAGCTTCATATTGGGGATACCATACATGAGAAGACCACCCATACGATCAGCACGCTCGTAGACAGTGACACTGTGGCCAGCACGGTTAAGCTGGTCAGCAGCGGCGAGACCAGCAGGACCAGATCCAATAATGGCAATGGTCTTGCCGGAGCGAGTCTTGGGAGGACGAGGGACCATCCAGCCCATCTCGAATCCACGATCAATGATAGCACACTCGATGGACTTGATACCAACGGGATCTTCGTTGATACCCAGAACACAGGAGCCTTCGCAAGGGGCAGGGCAGACACGACCAGTGAATTCAGGGAAGTTGTTGGTCATGAGCAGACGATTCAAAGCATCCTGCCATTGATTCTGGGAGAAAATTAGCCTTACGTTTACGCATGACGACACATTATTTGAAAAGAAAAACCACATCACTTACCTGGAAGACCAACTCGTTCCACTTGGGAATGATGTTGGAGATGGGGCAACCAGTGTCAGACTGACAGAAGGGAACACCACAGTCCATGCAACGAGCAGACTGATACTTGAGTTCGTCCTCGCTCAGGCGGTTGGAAATCTCACCCCAGTCGCGAGTACGGGTAGTAGGGTTGCGGTACTTCTCGCTGCGGCGGCTGTACTTCATGAAACCTCTTGTCTTGTCCAGAATCAGCGCGGACCGCTTCTTCTCAGTCTTGGAGTCGCTGATGCTATCTTCGATATCAAGCAAGTCGGTCTTCTTGTCGTCATCCGCCTTGGTCTTCTCTGCCTTGACCGGGGTACTAGGAAGCTGAGGAAGAGAGAACTCGGCCTTCTTCGCAGCTTGCGTCTTGGCAGCTTCCTCTTCCATGACACGCTTGTAGTCAATGGGCAGAACCTTGACAAAGTGAGGCAGAGCACGGGTAAAGTCAAGCAGAATACGAGCAGCCAGCTCGGAGCCAGTGTAATGGTGGTGATCCTCAATCAAGCCGCGAACAAAGGCGATCTCGGACGGGTCCTCGATGCCAGATACCTCCACCATCTCCAGGTTGACCTTGGAGTGGAAGTCTTGGTTCATGTCCAGCACGTATGCAATACCGCCAGACATACCAGCAGCAAAGTTACGACCGGTAGGTCCGAGGACAAGGACACGGCCACCGGTCATGTACTCACATCCGTGATCACCCGCACCCTCAACAACTGCAGTAGCACCAGAGTTACGAACAGCAAAACGCTCAGCAGCCATACCGCGGAAGTAGCAAGTTCCGCGAGTAGCACCGTAAAGACAGGTGTTACCAATGATGACGTTCTCCTCAGCCTTGAATGCGGCGCCGCGCGGTGGGTAGACGATGAGGCGACCACCGGACAGACCCTTACCGACGTAGTCGTTGGCGTCACCCTCGAGCTCAAGAGTGACACCCGGAGCAAGGAAAGCACCGAAGGACTGGCCAGCAGATCCCTTGATGTTTGCATGGATGGTGTCCTGCGGAAGACCATTGTCGCCGTAGCGTTTGCTGATCTGGTAAGAGAGGGTGGCACCGAGGGCACGGTCAGTGTTGACAATGTCACACTCGATGCGGCAAGGAAGTCCCTTCTCCAAAGCGAGCTCTGATTCTGCGATCAACTTGTTGTCCAGGCGAGTGTGGAGACGGTGATCCTGTTTCCGAACGTTGTAGGTAGCGACACCAGGGCGAAGAGAGTGAGCAGGAGTCAAAATAAGTGACAGGTCCACACGCTCCTGTTTAGCATTCCGAATGTCATCCCGGGTCTTGAGCAGCTCAGCACGGCCGACCATCTCGTTAACCGAGCGGACACCCAGCTTGGCCATAATAGCACGCATCTCGTTAGCAACATAGTAGAAGAAGTTGATGACGTGCTCAGGCGTACCCTGGAACTTCTTGCGAAGCTCGGGGTCCTGGGTTGCTATACCAACGGGACAGGTGTTCAAGTGGCATTTTCTGTATCAGATAGTTAGTTTCGATCATATCTCAAAGGTATTCGAGTTACAAACCTCATCATGATGCAACCCATTGCGATCAAAGGAGTAGTCGCAAAGCCATATTCCTCAGCACCGAGCAGACAGGCGATAGCCAAGTCACGACCAGTACGGATTTGACCATCAGTCTGGACCACCACACGGCCACGAAGATCGTTCAGAACCAGAGTCTGGTGGGTTTCAGCGAGACCCAGCTCCCACGGAAGACCAGCATACTTGATACCAGTCCAGCGCGAGGCACCAGTACCACCATCGTGACCAGAGATCAAGATATGGTCAGCCTTGGCTTTGGCCACACCAGAGGCGACAATACCGACACCAACTTCAGAAACGAGCTTGACGGAGACACGAGCACGCGGGTTGGAGCACTTAAGATCGTAGATGAGCTGCTTAAGATCTTCAATGGAGTAGATGTCGTGGTGGGGAGGTGGGGAGATGAGACCGACACCCGGTGTGGAGAAACGAGTGCGAGCAATCGGGCCGACCACCTTGTGGCCGGGCAGTTCACCACCCTCACCGGGTTTAGCTCCCTGCGCCATCTTGATTTGCAGCTCATCGGCATCTGCCAGATAGTTTGATGTAACACCGAAACGGCCAGAGGCAATCTGCTTAATGGCAGAGCGCATGGTGTCACCGTTCTCCATTCTGTTGCTGCGCTCGGGGTCTTCACCACCCTCACCAGTGTTGGACTTGCCGCCCAAACGGTTCATAGCAATGGCGAGTGTGGAGTGGGATTCCATGGAAATGGATCCGTAGGACATGGCACCAGTCACAAAGCGACGGACAATCTCAGTCCAGGGCTCGACCTGGTCAATGGGAATAGGAGTCCGCTGCTCAAAGTCGAAGTCGAGCATTCCACGCAGAGTGCAGTTCTTAATCTGCTCATGCTCTGCCTTGGCATAGGCCTCATAAGACTTGTCGTTCTTGGTGCGAACGGCATCTTGCATGTTGGCAATGCTGACGGGGTCGTTTATGTGGGCCTCACCACCATCACGCCAGTGATACTCTCCAGACTCTGGAAGACCAGGGATTTCAATAATGGGACGCGAAGGATAACCGCGCTCGTGGAAAGCAAAAGCATCCTCGGCAATCAGGTCAAAGGTGATACCACGGATACGACTGGCAGTACCAGCGAAGCAACGGTCGATGACACTGTCATCGATACCGAGGGCTTCGAAAATCTGGGCACCCTTGTAGGACTGAAGAGTGGAAATACCCATCTTACTCATGACCTTGAGAATACCACCATCGCAAGAAGACTTGTAGTTTTGAATGACCTTCTCATCAGAGATGTCCTTGCGGATCAGCTTCTCCCGGTTCATCTTGAGAATACACTCCAGGGCGAGGTAAGG